GGGGCGGAGCGGGGCGGGGCGCGCTGAGGGCGGCGCGGGCGGACGCGATGACTGCGCGCAACGAGCCACCAGAGCAGCAGGCCGGCAGGGAGGGCGAAGCGGAGTGGAGCGGAGCGGAGCGCCGGGGCGCGGGGCGGGGCGGAGAGGCTCCGGGGAAGTCCAGCGGCGCGGGGCCCGCCCTATAAAGGCGGCTGGGAAGCGTCCCGCAGCCAGTCCGCCGCTCGCCCCGCGTCTGGTCTCCGCCGCCCCCGCCGCCACCGCTGTCGTCGCCATCGCCATGGCTCGCGCCTCGCTCGTCGCCCTCTTGCTGCTGGCGCTCGCCGCCGCCCTCGCCCTAGCCGCCGCCGCGCCGCCGACCCTTCTCGGTGAGTAGGAGCCTCGGGACGCTTTGAGCACTTGCTACGGACGGATATTATACTTCTATCGGGACCTTCGAACCGATTTCATTGGAATCATCAATAGATTTTTCCTTCTATCATCAATAGTTCTCTGGCTTATGGCTTTTAAAAGTCTTCAATGTGTGTGCACCTTCTCAAAACAATATAACTAAATAGTATATTTGTATGGAATAGAAGTTTTGATATCGGAGAATTGGAAATTCGTATTATTCTCATAATACCCGTTCTATGTGTAAAATACTATATCAAGTTCATTTTAAAATGTACCTTTCCTTTGAATCAATTATTAATTTTAAAAAAACTGCTGCTGTTCTGGAGATATTGACGAAGACAGAAAGCTGCCAATGCGTTACGTGTTTAATACGAGGATGCTGGTCATCAATATTTTCGAAGAACTGATTCCATACTGATTCAATGTTCGACCCATGCGGAAGAAAACTCATTGACCAAAAAAATGTCACACCGTCATATAATTCTGAGATAAATCCCACTCTCCCTTCTGAGAATTTAAAACGCAAAACAGGCGTGAAACCGTACCTCCAAACAATTAAATTTTAATACTGCTTTCTCAAAAAAAGTTGGTATTGAATATATATAGGTCCAATTTCATTGAACTAATATTAACTTATTGTTTGGATCTTCATTCTTTCGTGTTCTGTTGGGTGTATTAAAATGGTAACAATAATATCCTGTCCAACCAATAAACTTAGTTCTACTTCGTGATACAAACAGAATCTGGAAGGTATGTCAAGGTTCATTTTGTTTGCGAAAATTTCTTGGTAAATTGCTGGGAAAGCCTGTGGATATTTAGTTTGCCAATGTTTTGGTTAAAAAATATATTCCAAAAAAAGTTCTTAAATTATTTTATTTTTCCTATATCCTTATGTTTTGTTTTCAAAGAAAATATGAATCAAGTTAAATACAGATAGCATGTGTTAACTGAATTCCGCAAGCGATTGTTAATATGAAGTGGTGACGACCAAAACAAATCATTCACATATTGAAGGAAATTTCCGGGCAAATGTTAAATATACTACTTTCCTTGAAGCTATTGTAGAGATGCGTATTTCAAGGTAGCTGGCCAAAAACTATAAATACTTACACGTGAGATATTTAAAAAGAAAGGTTCCTCTATCCTTTCACAGATAAAATGTTTTTAATACACAAAATAAAATAGCAACAATCATAATAACCCTTAGAAAAGTGAATCATTTTTTAATAAATGAAAATTATTAGAGACTTAATTATGATAATTATTTCTAGAGTCGTTAGTATTAATAGAATTAATAATAGTTCCTGGACGAAAATGATTTTTACTCTTTGATTATTTAGAGTACTTTCATCGAAGATATTCTATGGGAATGGACATGTATGTGATCACAAACTCTACTAAGTACTGTAAAATAAAGTGATTCAAACTCCCTTCTACCGTACTTTGGTTATGGCATAATTTTAGTGTACATTTCTTATTAAAAATATGGATTGTCTCTGAAAGAATCCAATTTTATTTCAAATTTCTTGCTTTCAATTTCTTCTCGCACAAGACTTCTACTTTAACTTATTTTTCATGTAAACATTTCATGACGAAATAATATTTGAGGTCTTTGGTATGTACATAATTATTCATTACAATAACTTATAAATAATCACTTAGAAGAGTAACAGTAGAAATTACATAATACATAGCGCATTGCGTAAGCATACCTGAAGAAGAAGCAAGAAAATGATATAACTAATGTTGGAGAACATTTGTCCATAAAAGTATGGTAAAACTATAACCGAGGGTAAACAAAAATTTACGCAATAATGAAATGTGAGAATCTCGAGAAAACCGGTCTTGTCCAGTGAGGCTCTTGGGATTATTTAACTGTGAGCCATCTTAAGTGGTTTTTATGGGAAAAACGAATGAAAGTTCAAAGAATTCTGTAAATCAGCATAAAAACATTCAACATACGTACTATTGTGTATTGTATTACACTACTTCGCCAGTGGCTGGCCAACCGCCAGGAGAACGAAAGAGGTAAATGTCTTTATTTTCCGTGATTTGTGGCTTACCGTCGTCCAATCCTATCAATTCTTCGTGAATCTACCTGAATGTGAATTCCAGTGCCAATGATGAAAGGCAAGCGGATAGACCACTCCCCATTGTCGAATCTAATTCGGAACGCGGCGCGCTTCGTGTCGACAGAACTGACCCGGCTGCGGCGTTCGCCGGTGCCGGTGGCGGTGGCGGCCGGCGACCCGGGCCATCACGGCCACGGCCACGGCTACGGCGGGGGCTCGGGCGGCTACTACCAGCGGCCCAGCGGCTACGGCGGCTTCGGCGGCGGCCACCGCGGCGGCTACGGCGGCCATCGCGGCAGCTACGGCGCCTACCCGGTAGGCGGCATCGGCGGCCTGGGCGGCGGCGGCGCCGGCGCCGGCTCCTTCTCCAGCGCCTCCAGCCAGTCCTCCAGCCAGAGCTTCGGAGGCGGGCTGGGCGGCCTCGGCGGCAACAGCGGCGCCGCCAGCCAGGCCAGCTCCAATTCCAACTCCAACTCCTTCGGCACTGGGTGAGCCACAGCGCTGCACTTGTCTTCCGGTTTGCAAATGCAATTTTATAATTCATTCCTGTATTATTAATTAGAATACTTTCCAACCGTCCAATTCTGTCAATTCGTGTTCGCCAGTAAGAATTTGTACAATTAAGCACTTGCAAGAAACTTGTAGATCGTCTCAGTTTGTACAAATTATTGAAAAAGATTACGTGAATACTATTTGTTTTATCACTTACATCATTATAATACACGGAAACTAATAAAGGAATGGCTAACTTTGTAAATGAAATAATTATGAGTCATCATTGCCAACGATATTGTTTATTACAATAGCAGCTTTTGATGGCTTAGCCTGGTTTCTTGTTGACGTTGGTAGTCGTTTTTGTGGCTTCCATACAACAGAAAACTGATGATGATGGTTTCATTGTAAATGCCAACGATAACTCACCACAGTATCAATAACTTAGAATATTTGAATTCGAACTCACCATTTACAATTCCCGTGCATTCACTTAAAAGTAAATTTGCTTCGAGGTAATTTTCTCATTAAATAATCTTCAATATTATCAAGTTTTCATCAATCTTTAACACATTATATATTTTTCAAAATGTCTACAAAGTTTCAACTTGCAAGAAACTACCCCAGGCTCCTGCCCTGTTTTATACACAAATGAACTCATAATGTTTTCTCATCATACGAGTATTCAAATGAAAAATAACCAAAATTTGGACAACTGAACACACATTTTAATGGTTCCTTTGCTCTCGTTTAATAAAAAATCTTGTCCAAAGGTTAATCGTGTATTAATATCTCATATTGTCCTTTATTTTATTTCAGATATGGACGATAATTCCGCCAGTGCCTCCCTTCAAAATCACATCGCTTTTCCATCATTTGGACTCCACTTCCACGAAATTTACATCGCCTGAACGACGCACTTGTCTAAAAGGACAATGTTATGGCGCATTACGAACAGCCTTCATTGCAAGTGTGTAATGAACAGCAAGTTCATTATGTACTTCTGTCTATATCTCAATATTTTTAAATAAATGTTATAAAATCGTTAACTGTGTTATGTTATTTTGAATAACTATTTCACACAATGAAATCTTAGTAAATACCATTATGATAGTTCAGCAGAAATTAAAACAGAATCTTATTTATAAGCAATTTCTTGCGAACACAATCAAACAAGTTTTAATTTTCGTATCGTCAGTCGTACAGCTGCTCAATGATTTAAAATCTCTGACAGGTTTAAGGGTCAGAAGTACCAAGTGACTCAAAGGTATCAAGGAAGTATAAAGCAAATGCATTTATCACATTGAAATTCTAGAGTAGCACAACAAGCCTTCCATAATGTAAACATTATTTCTGTTTCATTTAATTTATTCTTAAAACCATACGTGCCTAAGTATTTTTTAAACATTTGATATTAGTCATATTACCTTTCTCAGTTTACTATAGAGATACGTCATTCATATTTTCGTATCTGACCTTCTTCGACAAATTTTCGCCACATCGTTTTTTCAACACACGACATAAACAATGTAAGTCTTTAAAATGAGAAATAAAAACTGAAACCTTTCTCCCAAAAATATCAAAATGCTAGAATCGTCTGCAACCTAGTCGTGACGACGAGTAAAGGCACAGGGTGGCCCCCAGCCCTCTGCCTGCAAGGACTTCGTGAAACGGAGGCGATGCATTGATAAGACACAATTTAACCTTTTACGCAGACGTAAATATTTCATTTTTTATCGAGTCATTTCGAGCAAAACGGTCCGTGTGCTGCCTGGCAGATCGCAATCAACTGCCGTGCAAATAGACAGGCGACTACACAACTACACCACTCCCTGTGGTGCACAGTCGAAATACCACGAACTCTCTCAAAGATACGGAAGCTCTGAACGGTAACTTATACACATTCTTATATTTATCATTATTTATGCAAATTTCGTGTACTTTTATTATTCTTCATTCTTGATAGTCAAAAGTATAAAAGCATTCCACAAAATATCTTGTTAAGGATATCTGGAGGTTGTTTGGGAAATGGACATTGGTGAATAACAGAATGACACGAAGCAGAAAAGTCCCTTCTAAATACGTGAATTAAGAGTTGTGTTCGCAGACACTAGAGGTACTCGAGCTCCGAGTCGTCTCAGATCCACTCAGAAGGACATTTCGAGACGTTAAGAGGATTTTCATTACCACAAGAGTAATATTTACGAATCAATGAAAAATACAAGCTGAACAACATGAAAAGAATATTATTAAAACGCATTTACAGTGTCACCGATCTACCTCTGAGTTCCTATGTACTTAAGAGAAGAGTTCAGATGACTCAAGAAATCCTTTAATGTTACTCGACTTCGTGACAAGTAAAAGGAACGTCACGTTTTTTTCTAGAAATAATTGAATCATTTTAACTATCCTAATCAGTAGTGGGTACGTCTTTTAATGTATTTTACAGAAATCAAATGTCGAGATATTTCGATAGAAATAGTTGGATATAATATTTTCTAACATAAATTATCAGGTTGACTATGCTAATTGGTTTGGCTTTTGGTTGAAACTTTTCAATAACGCTATTAACATTCTTTGTAATATATGTCACATCGACACACACAACAAGTATACGTTCCGCACAGGGTGAAATTATACCCTTATTTTCATTTTGCGTAAAAAGAAATGAAATGTAAACTATAACACTTTGCATAAAAAAGAAAGAATACAAACAAACATACACTCTGAAAACAAAAAGTCTTAAAAAAATGCTTATATAATAATTGATTCAATGAGATTTATCTTGTAAATTTCCCAAATCAACGTTTAAAATTGACAGTCTTCATATAAACATCTTAGTAAATGATTTGCTTCACCATCAAAAATTGGGTTTAAGACTCAAGAACTTCCTCATCGAACCAAGATCAACTGAAAATTATTAACTGATCTTTGCAATCGAATAAATACAATACAACTCATTGTATAATTCTTAATAAGATGTGATCATTGAGTGGCACTCCACACACAATAGCAGGTAAAAATATTTTACAACTTTAAATTTACTAAAGACATCTGTATTCGTTTTACGACTAAATTCGCAATTGCAAGATTTACTTCAGAAACTTAATAATTCAAATTATTTAGTCTAAATAAACCTGGAAGGCATCTATTAATTTTAGAAGAATAACTTTTCTATCCAAATTTCTTTAGAAGCCAAGAATCTACTTTAAATGAAAATGGGAACGACTCACAACGTTTGTCCCTCGAAGATACGGCTAACCTCTGCAGACGTCCCCAATTCCGCAGTGCAGGGTCGCGACTTCCCTGCACGAGGCGAACGTAGGGCGAAGCTAGCAGATATTTTCTCTGTCAAGGCCGCATTCGTACGGATGCGTTGAAACACTTCCAGTCTTCTTATTCTCGCCTAAAAGTGTTCACTCCTTTCGGTGTTGACTCGCCAAGAAATGTAGCTTCCTCTCTTATTCCGTCCACAGTATACTCTTACCTGGCGACAAGCAGATAAGACTTCAATCAAGTTACAATCCAATAAATAATGAAATAAAAGATTGAGAATAAAATTAAAATAATAAGAGCTGAAATGGAAGGAAGCATTCTTCCATTAGATGCTATCTTATTTCATTTCTGAAATGTATGCAGAAATATTCGAGATGTAGGTGTCGAATATCGTATAATTTCTGATCGTTTCACACAACATCGTTTAATTCATCATCCCATAGTATTTAAATTTCTCAACATATTCCACAGGCTCAGAGATTTTATATAGATTGTGAAAGTATTACCTTTATTAAGCTTCTTAAATGATTTTCTCGGCTAATCTTTGCTTCTCCGCAGCTCTGCGTAGCAATCGACGTACATCTTCCAGATGTAGCGAGTTTCCGTTTTCGCAACACAAATTCTTGTCGAACATCGTACTAAATGTTGATTGGACGCTGTACTTATGCTTTGGTGAGCGCTCTCACAAATTTATTCCACCTCTAGTGGCGTTATCTACAATAGATTTCGTAACTTCTTGCAACTTCATTCTTTCTAGCGGAAGCACGACGCAGCTTTTCCAATTAATATTGCATAATTTAACTCGGCTTTAGCGGTTACAATAGCTTGTCGAAGAGTAATTTCACAGCTTATAAGTAGTTCTCAAACAAAAAAGAAGTTTCAAAGAACACTACATGACAGTTGTGTTTGATATTGTGAATATTTTGACCGATTTAAGGTACATTTACTGACTTACTGCTTAACTTTCTTGTACAATTACTACCGAACTACTCGAACGCAAGTTGGCTGTTTATCTTCGGTTCCACCTGGCGATCAAAATACTCGTAAGTGTAGTTTATGATCGGGTCAAGACAGAATTACTCTCTATTATCCTTAGAGTTTCGGTAGGCCTGAGCCTGTTCATGGTCTGCCGCTGCCCGGTGTACATACATACATCCTAGGCGTGTCTTAGGACTATGGGTTATTGCTTATAAGGTCTCAGATATATATATATATATATATATATATATATATATATATATATATATATATATATTAAATATAATTACAAATATTTGGAATAAGACGGTGACCAAATACAAAATAATCGGGACGAAAAACAATAAAACTGGCATGTGCATTCCATAGTATCATCTTTATTGTAACAAATCAAAAAATCAAAATGACTGGACTTTACATATACATTTTCCAGTTTGGGAAAAAATAAAATAGAAAGAATAATACATGCCCCTTTACTATTCGGTCATTTAGAACATAATTATATAAACAATACTGACTACAGAACTAACATTTACAAACAAAAATAATTGTAATATTTAGTGGAGTAACGTTTACGATTAATAACCTCTCGTAAACGTTGGGGCATATTTAACATAATTTTCTCAGTTTTTTAAGGCCTTAAATTTCCCCATTCTTCTTTCAGTCTTCTCTTCAGTTCTTCTTTTGAAGAAATTGAGGTTTTATGACTGTCTTGACGAGAATTTCCCAAAGATTCTTGATTGGGTTTAGGTCTGGGGATTGAGGAGTGTCCAAAACATTTAAACAAATGTAAAGTAACCATTCCCTTTGTGTTTTGTACCATTTTCCTATTAAAAATGAAACGTGTGTGTGTTATTCCCAAATTTTCGGCACTATTGTGCAAATTTTGTCATAGTATTGTCAGGTAGTGTCCCTAATTCATCGTGTCCTCAATAAAAGTCTTTTGACCCACACCAGCTGAAGATATGCACCCCATACCAGGACGTTAACCCCACCGTGCTTTCCGTAGGCTGCAGATTATTTTTTCGAGATCTGTATTCACTTTACGCCATAAAAGAACTCTTCCTTTTGGCTTCATAAGATTGAATTAGCTTTCATCAGCAAATATCACATCTCGCCACCACTCTGGTGCCTTGTAAACGTGGTTTTTGGCAAACTTCAGTCGTTTCTTTCTATTGACTTTGCTTACACACGGTTTCCTTCGGGATACTCGTTCGTTATATCCCGCACTTCTTTATACTCTCCGAACAGTTTCGGAAGGAACAACCTTTCCACTTTCCACTCGAACGCCAGCCACAATTCTTCGAGTACTCAGACTTGGACTTTTTTCACTTTTTGAATGACAGGCCGCATTTTTTCTGTCAGCTTCCTTGGTTGACCTTTCTGTTTCTTGGAATCGATTCTATTGTGGCGTCATACGGGTGTAATCGAACACAGACGAGAGTGGTTTGTAAAACGGTACATTTATTAACAATCTAGACCGTAGTCTCAATTTAAAACTACCCTGCTCACAATAAACTAAATAAATAGACCCACTACAAGGAGAGATAATTTAAGATCGGCTACCACACCGCAACATACCACCGATGTTCCCTGTATGAAGCCGTTCTACTTTGAGACCATCTACGCGTCTCGCAAGTCACGACAATGAATTTCCGGTCCCTCGCCCTAGTGCACCTACACGCACAGACACGCGCTTCACGTGTCGCCCAAGCCGCTAGAACAAGAAGACTGGGGTATTGTTCTCCTGACTCCTGACAGTGTCAAATATATAATATTTCATTAAATGTGTAGACGTATGAAGAAATATTTCATTCAGGCATTGCGAGACTTTAAATATAACATTTTAAACAGAAACAAAGTATAGTACATTTTAGTTAATTTTAATAAATGAATATATAGTGATTTTAAGACTAACACCGCAACATGGAATATGTTTTGTGCACTACTGCACACTGTAGGTGAACCGGAGGCAACTTATTTCGAGACGGAGTTGAAAAGCTCGTCAGCAAGTTGCTCTGGACATGCTGCAAGAAAACTTTCCCAAGTGTCACCTATCTCGGGCTGCGCAACCAGACAGCCGCCATTTGCAAGTCCCATGTTGCAATTTTCACACCTCCAAAGTATTGAGACACGCCATATTTGGCTGCACTGAAACAGGAGATAGTTTTCGAACGTCCCTAACCAATAAAAGGTAAACACTGATGATTATATACCGGGCGTTTTAAATCATGAAATCGGAGAATAAAGGGCGAACAACTACTTTAACATCAAATATTATACAAAAGGAATGGAAATAACGAGGTGCAAAATTTGGTAGGGCGGTACCCACTGAATCTCCCTGACGTAGCCGCCACTGAGAAGGAAACGAGCACAGTCGGCTGGCGCCGCAAGAAATACTGACTTACAGTGTATAATCTTACTACCACATAGGACCAACATTTGGTCCACATCTGGTGTTCAACACCAGATGAATGCCGGAGCAGTAGCCTAAAAAACGGGCCATGGACCACGCACGATATTTCCTTCCTCTTCCTTATCCTATTGTCTCCCTTATTTACACATATTTACAGTCACATGCACTTCACTATCACACTTGTCGGGAGATCAGTAGGGAGTTTAGAGCGTGTCCCGGGTGAGGCGTTGTCTCGCTGGTGGGAGATACCTGGTTGGAGAAACCTCCGCGAGCCGAAGTGTAGGTCGGCGTCGGATCTCACCATCCAAAGTCGGAAGATCACTGCCACCATTCGTGATAAACAAATATACAACACTTAAGGGACTAATGACATTAGCAGTTGACGCGCCTGGAATCGCTAAACAATCAATCCATTACGCGCAGAAATTGAAAGAAAACTGGCTGTCTGTCTGTCTCCGGCCATGAGAGAGGGGCATATACAACATACACAACGTGGTATACAACGGCTATACATCGTTGTAACTTCGTCAGATACGCACCAAATCGAGAATAATACAAAAACAATGAAAAAATTTCAATTTTAAGTAAACATTGCCGACGTTGTTGTTTGTTTTTTTTCTTTTTGCTAACTGGCCATCTCGGAACAAGGGTTCTGGATTTTCATTTACGAATGTTTTGAACTGCAGTTTCATTATTAAGTTTTTTTGTTTAATGATTACTTAAATTTGTTTCGTAGTGTTTCTGTACGATTTAGATGCTATAACAGATAGTATATAATGTTGGTATACAACATTTTTTTTTTACTATCATTTAATAATTTTGTGAAAACATTTTCCTGTTATAGAACATAATTTTCAGATGTCACTATAGACGCTCATTTTATATATAATATGCTGTAATATGCTATTTTATATTAAAATGAAAAATGAAACGATATATATATATATATATATATATATATATATATATATATATATATATATATCGCTATTCAAATTACGCTCCACCACAATAGGAAAATAGAAAATATTCCCTTTGATGTGCAGGATCCGACATGCAGACCAACTATCTTCTTCGCTTTACCGAAAGACATAATTCAAGAATAGTTTTTTAGTTAAAAAGGTGAAAATACGATTTGCTACTTTCCAAATCACGATAACAGGTAACTCCTGTCCTTTGAGGGAAATTTATACTCCAAAACTGTCATCTAACGCGGTTCGGCTGTCGCGGAAAATGGCTGGGACACGTGATCTTTAATACCACGTTTCTCTCTATGCAATCCTACTGATGCAAGTGTCAAAACATCGGGACGCCGAAGAACACAAGAAATCTCGTTTCTTAGAAAGGTAAAACAAACGCTGTGATAAGAACGACAACAAAGCACCCTTTCGCGAAATTATTCACTAGTTTTGTCACGGTCGAATGAACCGTTTATCAGGACCGTGTGTTAGCGAGCGCTCGCCACTGCGATGGCTGAGGGCGGGGCTGGGCGGGACGCGGAGGGAGGGAAAGCAGAGGAGGAGGAGGGAGGAGGGTGGGCGCTCGTAGTGCGCACAAGCGCAAAGTGACCCTGGGCCAGCTCCTGACAAGTCGAAAGCTGCCTTGCATTCGGCGAGGCGGTGCTGCAGCAGCGATGCGGCTCGAAGTGACTATCGCCCTCGCCCTGCTGGTGAGTTGCTTTCGGGGCGTTCTGATTATTCTGCTTACAAATAAAGGGTCGGCGAAAGTATTGCTAATCACGCTGCACAAAATTTGAGTTAAGGCTTATTTAAGTTTTGCTGATACATGGAAGTTAATGCAGGGGTAGAAAAGTCCAATCAAATACCATCTCACGTGAGATTAAAGACCTGTAATAATATTAATCAGAATTGCTTAGTCTGACTGTTCTTTGTACCTATGTGTTTAATTATTCTCTCGAATTTTCAAAATCCACATTTCACCAGACTGTTACCCGAAGGTTATCCCAAGATCGACCCGTCGTGATAAAATTGTATATATGTGTGGATATGATAGGCCGTCTATACAGATACTCGGTAGTGAAATATTTACGTAAAGTAGTTGTTTTCTTTTCTCTTTTATGTAGGTTTGGGAACTCTAGTTGTTATATATATATATATATATATATATATATATATATATATAACAATTCAGAAATCCATCTCGTTCGATCTCCCCTTTCTCCATCTTTGAGGCCTCTTGCCTCCATTTCTTCTTGGATGTCCTTTCTCCAACTTCTTAGTGGTCTTCCACGCGTATTCCGCCCTGGAGGTATCAAATCCCAGATCTTCTTAGGCCACCTATGGCATCCCATACGCTGGAGATATCCATACCAATTCAATATTTATTTTGAATTGAATCCAAGAGGCTGGTCTCTACGTTCAGAATTTGTCTTATTGTTTTATTTCGATTACCCTGTACACCCGACAGCACCTTTCCAGTAGTCCATTTCAAGGGCTACAAGCAACCTACATTTATCCCTTTTGTCCAATGCCCTGTTTCAGCTCCATAGGTACTTATGCTCTGCACGATGGTCTTAAAAATATGAGTTTTCTTCAGTTTTGAGATATTCTTGCTCCAGAGAATAGAGTAACTGCACACTCTCTAGTTGTTACTCAAAAATAACAATATTTACTTCAGTTACATTTCTATCTGTATGAATCTGTAAGCATATACATTCATACAAATATTTAATTGGAAACAATAACAATTTTCATAAACACATGTCCTCTCATAAATTCTCCTATTCTCATTACCTACTACACGCTACAAATCCTCATTGCAGGAGTGGCCGAATTCCCTCGTAATTATTAATTTAAAAATTTTACTTTAATACAACACAATAATGGTCTTCACTGCAATTGCAAACAAAATAAAATAAATACGAATATTCCCCATTTTGCTACTTTCCTTGCACAGATCCACCGAAATCTTGAACGTCGTCCGGCATTCATTCAGCCTTCATTTCCAAAAGAATTCGGTTGACTCCCACATAATAATATTTCTTAATTGTACATTTACTACCCTAAAACATCGCCCTTACAAACTAACAATTAAGTCTAATTCTTCCCACAACCAAATAGCTTTCCCTTCACCATCTGACTCACACCGTCTCCAAATATCGTCTGCCCCGTTTTTTCCTCTTGAGCGCCGTTCATCTGTCTCTCATCTGTGCAAAATTAATCTCAAACGCGTCTCTTCTTCGTTTTTCGCATGACGATTCTTCGATTCTTCTCACACGATCCAACTCCTGATTGGTCACACACACACTTCAACATATTATTTGTTTATTCTTTGTCGAATCAATCAAATAACATACAATAATTTTTCGAATTAGCCAAGGTTACTTTAGGTTATTTTCACAAAACAAGAAAATGCACATCTAACGATCCATTTATAAGTTTATCTACAATAGGTGCATATTTTTTCTTAAAAAATACCTTTGGGACACACGAATCAGCCGAAATGTATGCTCTCTTCTCACTATGTCATACTATAAGAGCCACTTGTTTATCTTAGGTCGAGACTTGTCTATGTATAGCAAAAGAACCCTGAGTCGTTGTACACATAATATACCATCATAGAGAAGCACGACTGAAGAGTATCAGGGAGTAACTTTTAGCACTAACAATATAACCAAATGAGTTCTCAGCGATTGTTTCCTCCGGAATCGCACTTTAAATTAATTCATCCTAGTTTTACTCGATTATAATAGGATTTGTATTATCTCAGCACTTTAAGGTCTTCAAATATAATTGCTGAATTTTTATTTGCTGAATTCGTCACTAAGAAACAAGGAGTTAGCAGCTTATTTGGACTAGGGTATCAATTGATATCATTGCTTACTTCGGACCGGGAGGGGTGTTCGAGGTCTGAAGATGGCAGAATTTTCGACAGTACCTGCATAGCTGGGTCGAATTGATCCGCTGTCTGGAGGAGAATATTAACGACCGGCTGCTCTGATCCACAGTTTCCATGGTTCTCCGATCAATACTAGACGAAAGCGGGAGCTGTACCCTAACAAACTGACCACGGACCACGCGTATCTTCTTCTTCGACCTATCCTCACCCCTTACTCACACGCACAATTTCATGCACTACACTACCACATACGTCGGGTCGGGAGCTTAGAGCTTGTGCGGCAAGGCCGGTGCCCCGCTTTGGGTGCCTGCCCTGCTTGAGGTAATCCCCGCAAGCAAAATGAAATGTTCCCAAATCAAGCTGATCCGTTTCTAAGCTGTGCTATTTAACAATTCTTTAAATTTTAGGGGTTAGTTTAAATGGAATTCCTGCAACTTTTTCAAATTTTTCTCTAAAATGGCTCGAAATGTTGATTTACATTTCTTGTAAGACTGGAGCAAAATACTCTTTCAAAAATGTCATAGTCCGATTTTCATAGTTAATCCTAAATTTACAAAAATTGCAAAGTATGAAATATTTATCGGCGTCTTCCTAAAACTACAATATTGAAGATAACGATGTTTTTTTAAATACAATTTGTTCTCCACAATCAGTTATTTGATTGTTGTCATGTGCTTTTCTTAATTCAGGGGTTCATGATGAAATAGGGGTGTCCCGTAATTTTGTAAGAAATGTGGGGATATATTAAAAAAAACAAGATTTTCTCAAAAACTGTTCCAAATTTTTCTTTAATTCTTTTTTTGTTTGGGAAGATCTGCAGACACCGAATAACATGATATCAAAGCTAATACTCTAATCTTTTTTTCAATTACACAAATGTATTTTGAATGTCTTTCACAGCGCTAATTTGTAGATTATGGGTCTTCCTTATTCATAATTGTGTTTGTGAAGTGCTTTATGTGATTTCTTTAAGTTTCTTGACGTGACCAAAATTGTGCGTGAAAATGAGTTTGAAAATACGCATTTTTTAAATAACGCTCACATTACGTTTCTTTAAACACCTCCAAATTTTTCAATGAAAATAGGGATATGGGACCAGATTATACACCTCTGTGCAATTATTAAATTAAAATTTCAATTATATTATTAGGAATTGATTCTGTAATTTTATTGAATTCTATATGAGAATTGAATAAAGATGAAGAAATGTGTTTTAGGGAACAAAATATGACAGCTGAGAAGAAGTGTGAGGCAAAATCGAATAGATAGTCCAGATGAATAGATAAGGAAACTAACTACAGTACGAGAAAGTCTCTACGATTCTGTATCGCCACTATTTAATTTATAATACATACATAAATTAACGACGTTTTCTCAATAATCATACCAAATTTTCTATTTTCCAAATCATTCCAAAAAGTTCAACGCAAATTTCCAGGGGAGAGGGTTTACTGTTCTATAATATTCTCATGGTCATATAACAGTTCTTCCATTAGGGACCGAAAAATTGAGATGTGATAAAACCTGCTTTGGGAAACGAACATTGGTAGTTGAGAAGAGGATGGTGCAAAATCGAAATGCTAACCCAAATAAAATAGAAAACTTACTAGTATGAGAAAGTCTGTTCCAATCTGTAGCACCACTACAATTGGTTCCTCTTGAATTTGGTTGTTCCTCTTGAATTGAATTGGCAATCACTATGTCATCCAACGCCCACAGAAAAGTTGCTTTACAGCAGGCCAAGTCCACACAAGATGAGCCATTATTTTTCTTGCAACTAACTAACTTCATGACTTCTAATGAAACTATTTTGGCACTTTACAATACAAAGAACGTAAAAAAATAAGTTACTTGTAACTGACTGAATGGTTATGTAATACCTGTTTTATCATTCATAAACACTCTCAATGTTTTTTAATTCCTTGATTATAATAAAGTGGGTGGCCTGATATTCAAGATCGGCTAGTCTCAAGTACAAGGTACTTCTGTATCTCGGTCTTTTGAACGATTTTTTTTAAAACTGCACTGCTTTGTATTGCACTTTCAACACTTCTCAACGCTTCATTCACAATACTTCACAATACTTCACTGAACTGCACGACTTAAATTGCTAGTTTTAAATTTCTATGAGAATCTTAAGTTGCTTATTTCATTAGCACTAAACTATTCCATGTCCTATATGTCTGAGACTACGAACATTGCAATGAATAATTTTGAGAATTGTAGCCAGAAAACCGTTCCAATCTCCTAGTTATAGTGAATGAAACTTTTTCTACATCTACTCCCTCTTCTTTTTATCCCAATTTTGTCATTACGGTTCCCTCGCTTTCCTTCTTATTTGGAGCAGTTCTCATGATTTTTTATGTGTTTTCACATACATGAAAAATTTCTCCTTAATTCATCTAAATTTGCCTTTTGAGGATGTACATATGGATCCCAAAAAGTCACTCTGTATTCTATAACAGACCGGCAAGATATGCATATGACAATTCCTTCGCGTTTACCGTACATTTCTATAATGTTTGCCGTACAAAATAAAATGACTTCCATGGCTTTCTCGTTACTTGGTTTATTTGATTCTCCCACCCTAACTTGCTAACTGAATACCAAGATACACGACGATATTCGTGGAATGAAGTTGATACCCCAATAGTGATCAGTTGCAACGTGATTACGACCCCGGCCAAACGTAATTGCTTTATTTTCGATTCATTAATTTCCATGTCATTTATTTCAGCCCAATATCGTAAATGTTCTATGCATCAGTGACCACGAGACAAACACTTTCCCAGTGGCCACAAAAACATGCAATACTGCTACAAAAAAAGTAAATGCTGAAAAATGGATCAATACGAAAATGGTCTACAAGGGCCAGCCCTGTAAAGAAAATGACCGAGCACATTTTCACGAAAAAAAAGATTAATATTTATAAGATTCAACAACTTAGCACATCCCCATCGCACTGGGAATCGATTTTAATAACAATATCTACCATATCTGAATTCTCCGGCATACTTTAAGGACATTCACAAACTCTTTCTATTCGTTGACAGATCAGGCATATTTTTCAAACAAGTACAAACTGCATCTTGTGTTTGAACGATGTTTTCACAACTTCTTACAACTGCGACTCTTATCACTAGCCATTAAATATCGTTGCAATTAGCAAGATTAATTACATGTGCTGAGCAAAAAACTCTGCTCGTGGCCATTCGGGGCACGTGCGCTGCGTAATGCTCTCGAGGGCGCCGAGCGGAACGTTTCTACTTTATCGTATGCGTACATACGGACTACGCCCGATTGTGTAATGCTGCTGCCAAAAGTTCTGTTTTGCGATAGAAAATATCGTTTTCTGGGTACCGATACCGTTAAAGTGTTCTGTTTTTCCGATACCGTTAAAGTGTTCTGTTTTTCTTTTGTTGCTATGTGTAGTAAATTAAGTTTTCTAATACGTAGTTTAGCCAGAATCCACGATTTTTGTGTCATTCATACATACGACGAAACGGCCGTCTACCTGTTCGTCCGCTTGTCTGTCTGTTCACCTGTGAACAACACTAGCGTATAAACCACACATTCACAACCGAAGCGATATCCGTCACCAGCAAACAACCCTCATTCCGTGGGACGGTATCGGATACAGAGGCAAATGAGGGGGGGGCAGAGGGGTTGAGGTAGTCAAGAGAGGCGGCCGTGGCGTACCTATCCTATCATCACCGAAGAATTTGGAGAAATGTTTATTTTCAATATTTAAAATAATATTTATAAAGTATGGTTTACAAAAATTGCTCGCAGTATTGGGGACAATACCACGCCGGGAGCAGTTAGATTATCTGTTCGTTCGTGCAATGACTGCAGCGATCCAGGCGATTTTGCGGGAGAGAGCGCTAGTTTGAATTTAATTGAATTTGCCTTATTTTACGTGGTGAGACTCGAGCCATTAGGCCCGCTCTTCCGTCTGTCCACGCAAATTTCGCTACGCTCCTTTCATCAACTAGCATAGAAAGAAGGTATTTCGGGCGAGAAACACGCAATTTCAATTTAGCTCAGAGGCGTCATTTAGGCTTGAGGATCTTTTACATGCAAGTAAATCTACTAACATGGGACAGCCGGATTTATTTCCCCTCCGAAGGAAGGAGTACGAAGGAATTTTTCGCCTTTAAAAATCCACGGCTGCGATCGGATTTGAACCCGCGAACTTGGGTACAACAGTCCGGTACGCTAACCATTTGGCACCATCGCCGCCGCCGGTTCTTCGTAGAAGAGATGGAGTGGGACCATTCATTCTTTTTTCGCTGGTTTTGCAAATATTTTGTAAAGTGCTCATCAAACCAAGAAAAGTGGATAATTAAAGTGGTTTGTATCGATGATGTCTATCCAATGATACCAAACTCGAACCCTACCCCTTCCCTCCTTGGAAGTGGGGTGTGAGGAAAATAAAACAGTTGAGAACCCCCGTTGAGAACAATGAGAACCCCCGTTCTTTATTGCAGATTCCGATTCTCCGGGGGGAAATGCGTAAGTTTTGTATTTAACGTTTTCCTCGTTCCGCTAAATATGGCGCAGTAATCGACAAAAAACAATATAAGCAAAAAACCTTAAATGCATTTTTTCTCGACAATTACACGTCAAATCTAAAAAACATTGTTTCTGCAATTGTCAACATTTTAGGTTCGTAATGTAATAAAGTTGCTACTTCGAATTATGATATGAAAGCGACGACAGAACGCTGCATTGATTTTTAGAAAATTTTATAATTCATTAGACGGCCAGAATGACGCTGCTGTCGGCGCATTTCATTCTTTCATCCTGGAGAGAGAAAGGGGAACTCTCTTAGGGCACACTGCGATGTTTGGTATCATTGCGTAGCTTCTTGCAACTTATTGAACACGTATTTTTTTACCTTTCTCGTATACGTACGTATATACGGATAAATACACGTAGTATGGAGAAAGTTATGTAATGCTGCGACAAAAACTCCGTTTTTTCGTCAGAAAAACTCGTATTGTGGGGCCCTGATACAGAAAAGGGTATAAATCTTGCTCTAAAATGTAAATTACTCCTTGTAACACGAAATGTAGTGAGATTTTAGAAATTGTGTTTTTTTCAAAACGTCTCTGTGAGCAACACTAGCGCCTAAACTACAAGTAGGATTTCTTTCAAACTGAATAAACTGCTGTCGATCTGCTCTAAGAATTTGAAAAACATTCATTAATTTTTAGGGGTACTTTACATGAAACCCCTAGGACATTTCCAAAATTCTCAAAAATGACTCCAAATGTTTCTTCATATTTTAAATAGGTTTTAAATAATCTCCAAAAGATTAAATTGTAAACGTATAACAAAATATCGAATGTAAGAAATGAACAAAGAAATATGAAACAATATACAAATTCTAACTGACGTAGCATCCCTTTGCCTGGAATCATTTCTCATATTACATCCATAAAACGCAGGAAATTCGAATCGGGCGGCAAATAACACAAAAAATACTCATATTTTCGGAAACTTCAACATAACTTTATCTAAAGATCTGTAGTTGAGACACACACTTGAAACAACACACTTGAAGACAAAAATTGTATCTTCACAATTGGTGTTATAGGAATATGCCGAAAAAAAATTTAATTCTTTAAATTTCAGTCCTTTTAACGAACGTGAGGCCTTCATCAATCTCTTTAGCGTCCTTTACTCTAAGGTCCAAATTTAATCAAGAAATTTTGTGTCGTTTTTAAGAAAAAATGGTTTGTAGATAAATACAATTGTCCATGTCCACCCAATGTTCAATACATATATTTTTGAAAATTTTATCATCACATTACTTGAAGATCTGTTTTTGATGAACACATTTCATTAACAAAAATGTTTTTAACACGCCGCGATTTCTCGTGTTAGTTTTCCGTGTGTGAAACAGCTAATTTTTTCACATTGCGAAAAACATCGAGAAGAGTGCACGGAACATCTGTAACAATTCCCAGTTGTCTTTCTTCTTGACGACGTCTTTGTTTCTTATTTACAAACAAAGTACTAAAATTTTCGAAAAATTGTACGTAGTTTCAATTTTATCAAAATCTATCTTTAAGGAACAGATTACACTATTGAAAAAATTTCAATCTTCATAATTATTGTAGTTGTAGGGAGACGCCGAAAAAATTTAATATTTGCAATTTTCGGAAAATCAGAATTTTCAATGGAAATGACACTTGCACCATTCTCTTGAAAGCTCTTCACACTTTCCAGCAACAAAATTTAATCAAAAATAATGAAGCAATTTGTTTGAAAATTTAGAAAATGGCTCAGAGGTTTCATTTACAGAAAACCCCAAAATTAAAATATCGGTTTCTTATTCTAGGGGCCGCGACATCAGCCGAATCCATTGTGAAATATCAATTATTGGGGAAATTGACTGAACGGTTTAGCCACTAGCGTTGTTGGCAGTTACAACCAAATAGGTGAATTCCTTTTCACATTTAATTATGTTCCTGTGTGTTAACAGATCTTGACCGTTTTTTCCCACTAATATATATTTTGTTCTTGATATGTTAATGTCAAATTCCCACTATTCATATTCTTGAATTAATTTTCGAGTAATGTAGTGGATATCATCCTTATCACTGCCTAAGATTACTTGGTCGTCTGCATACAGTATAAAAAAATCTGAACCAATTGGTATTCCCATGCCCTTTGCACTTTCTCTTCTAGGTGTGAAGAACACGTTTAATATATATTAAAGAGAAAAGGGATATACAACAACCGTGCCGCAGGCCTTTGTTTATTTTAAAAGCTGAAGAACAACTTGAACCCACTTTTACTTAGCTTTGACAATTTGCATAAAGACTACAGCATTTATATACACTGTATTTATATTCTCATCTTCCATACTATACCACAGTTTAGCTACGGATACCGAGTCAAATGCTTTTCAAGATCTACAAATACCATCTCTGCTTACACTGATTCTTTTTTTCATAATTTGTATTAGGCAGAATATGTTGCCAATGAAAGATTGCCTTGCGCAAAAGCTACTCTGTTCCTCCATTTCCTCCACCTGTTTCCAATATTTCTCTTAATGTCCGGCCATACAGTCTCCCATTTGTACTGGAAACACTAATACCCCTATAATTTTCACATTTGTTATTGTTGCCTTTCTTACAAATAGATGAAATCTGAATCTGAAAAATACTTTGATGTAATGTATGTGCTTTTTTTGTAGCACCACTAGTTTTATACTGCTCTCTTCGTTGCAGGTCCTCGCTCTCTCGACGAGAATCACAGCAAACGAAAGTAAGTTCGTAAACGAAAGAGTCGTTTATGTAAGCTAATAGATTGAGGCCAATTTCAATACTTTTAGGTGTCAATTGGAGTACTTGTTACTTATTATTATTAATGTAGTAACTGTAGAATTAGCTATATGAAGCAGAAAATGGTACCAAATAGGCCCGTATGTATTGTTTTTTGTTGTTTGTTTTTGTCGTGTTTCTGTTCTACGTCTTTCCTTCTTTTTCGATCTGAATACTACCATTTCGTAAATAGAAACTTTCATTGTAACTTCTTGTTGGCTTGAGGTTTAGTTTGTCTTTTCATTTATTTTGTTAGTCATATTTATCAGGTCCTTGTTATTTGACAATCAGTTCCCATAGAACTTTCATCCCATTAATAAAACAGGAAAATTATGTTCAACTTGTGAAACATTCTGAGTTTATTGAAACAATACATGTAATTTTACGTGTACGTGTAATTATTGTATCTAATGTAATGTAAAATGTGTTGTTTCAATAAAATCAGAATGCTTTAAATATTTTACATAATTTTCTTGTATTATTAATGGGATAAAAGTTCTATGGGAAGTAATTGTGAATTAACAAGGACCTAACGAATAAAATTTGACAAACTTTCATTGTGTTCAATCACGAAAGCTGAATATAGATAGAACCTCATGACAATATAGTAAATTGAGCTCGATAGCCTTATGAACCAAGTAACTCTCATTTTAGTAGCTCGTCTTCGCGATAACGAAAATATCATCCTCGCGCATTTTTAATATCAATTCAATGAGTTAACAAAAAACGTAACCTTATTTAATGTCAATAAATGAGTATTTGATTTAAGTATTACCAAATAACGTACCTGAAAGATTTCGAATTGGAATGTAACTGAGAACAGCTAATTACTATCTCCTTCAGATGACGTTAATTTTGCTCAAGTTGATCCTATAAATTTAACTGGTCTCTGTTGATTATTTTTCTATCGTCCTATGTCTATTTTTGTTTTAGTTTTTCGCGTAAATTCCAAATTTATAGTTATGTAAAATTCCACTATACGTTTTGAAGAATGGTTGCAATGTAGAGTGAAAGATGTATTTTTCGTATGCAGTGTGTGTAAAATAAAAACCAATCGGAATTTGTGCATGATTATACATTAACATTAGAAGAGCGAGGGGGAACAGATAAAATGAGATGTATGTGTCTGTGTGTGAGAGAGAGAGAGAGAGAGAGAGAGAGAGAGAGAGAGAGAGAGAGATGATAAGATGGGAGAGAGCACGTGAGAAGAAGAGAAAAAGAGATACAGCAAAAGACAAAGAGATAGAAAGGAAGAGAGTTAAGATACAGACAAATAAAACGAGAGCATGAATGAAAGAAAGAGAGCTAAAATGTCGTAGTAAATGCCATTTTTTCGCCATACTTGTACTAGTCTCGTGCACGTCCGACTCCGAGCGACCAATTTCCTACGGTTTTGGGCGTCGTCTTGCAGACGCGCGCGCCCCGCCCCTCGCGCCGCCCCCCGCGCCGCCCCACGCGCCGCCGGGCGCGACGCGCAAGACGTTGGTGCAGGGGCCCGAGGTGATCGCCGGGCCCGTCATGGGGGCAGGGGGGCCGGCCGCGGCCGTGCCGGTGGCCGTGCCCGACGCCGGGCTGCCCAGCGCGCACGTGCAGCAGACGGTGGCGCAGACGCACGGGCAGTCGCAGGCGTTCAGCGAGGCCGCGGCCTCGGAGGTGTCCGAGGTGGCGGAGACGGCGGTGAGCGGCGTGGGCGCGGCGGCGGGCGGCGGCGGCGGCCTGCACTCCGTGCTGCACAAGCACAAGCGCCATCGCCAGCAGAAGCACCGCCAGACGCACCACCAGTCGGAGACCGTGCAGCAGGTGAGCCACACGCGCTCCAAGCCACACGTGTTGAGCTGGCGGCCAAAGGCCGTCACGAAACGAGAGTCGGTCGCTGTGATCGGGAAATCCCTCGGTAACGAGACCCCTCCATAAATGAGGCCCATCGGTAAATGAATCCCCTCAGTAAATAAAGTCTTTCAGTAAATAAAGTCCCTCAGTAAATAAAGTCCCTCAGTAAATAAAGTCCCTCAGTAAATAAAGTCCCTCAGTAAATGAGGCTCCTCGTTAATTAGGCTCCTCGTTAATTAGGCTCCTCGTTAATTAGGCTCCTCGTTAATTAGGCTCCTCGTTAATTAGGCTCCTCGTTAATTAGGCTCCTCGATAAATGTGGTTACTCGATATATGTAGTCACTCAATAAATAAGGCCCCTTGCTAAGAGAGACCCCTCGATAAAAAGGCTTTTCATTAGATAAGAACCTCTATTAGATAGGTCCCCGTCTGAAGGTAGGACCACTAGATAACATCGGGATTCTTGTGTAAGACGAGCAAGCGTCGGAAAGTAGTTCCCAGGATCTTGGGGTCTGCCCTGATTAAATACTATTTCAACAAATTCGTAAAAATTCGAAGAGAAAGTGCATCAACATAATGTATTTCTATTAATTTTCTGCATATTACGCACTCATATTGTGATGAAATAACAGTTGAAGTATGTTCTAGATCCTGATTATTTACAGGTGATACGACGTAATTATAATTCAGCTTTCCTTGTAAAAAATCCGCTCTAGACAGACTACAGAACGGGTACCAAAATCCATAGCTATAATGAACAATAGAGTTAACATGCACGCCTCTTGCCAACATATGCAGCGATGCAACATGCTGCCAACGCATTTGAACTTTTCAGATCAGTGTTGGGTGTCATTTGTGATGGGCGTCATTTGTGATGGGTGTCACTTTGTGATGGGTGTCACTTTGTGATCTACTGAATGATATGATCATGAAAACCAGATATTTGAATGACGAGGCATTACATTATAAACATTTCATTCAATTCATAATTTCTCGTCCTCCACATCCTTGATAACGTTCGCATTACTTTACATTACATCCGTGATTACGTTTTCTAAATTTGCGACAATTCGCCTTGCTTACAGAGACGGTTAATCAAGTAAGGTTTAATTTTAACCTTCTGGAAATTCTGACATATAAATCTCTTAATTACTGGTGACGCGGCACATATCATTTTCTGACCATACAGGTCTATATTTTCACAACGAATCTATTTTTTCTATCTTAAGGTTAGACTGTGTTAAGGTTAACACTGTGTTAAGGTTACACAGTGTTTATAAAATTGGCGTTTTCAAGAGAAATCTAAAGTCTTCCCCAGTTATAATAATAATCATGAGTAATATATTTGTTTTGTGCTTTGAAATAGAATTAATTTACGCAGCAAGAAACGACAGAATGACATGTAAGTATGTTTATTGCACAGCCAGGTTTCGTCCTACAAGAAGGAAGAATAAATTTAGATCGTTAGTTCTTATTCTACACGACTACCCTACAACCAACTTTTGCATGATCCACATTCTTCTCTGCACAGCCAAGCATAATACATAGAATACACACAAATGAAAAAATAATATCACTGTCAATTAAAATTATAAGTAATGTATAATTCAAGGTAGGGGAAATTAACGTGATTCCAATTAAATTTAATAAACAAAGAGTATGCAGCTTCCTAACCAGCTTAGTATGAATAATTTCAATAAGCGATTGGATACTTATGTTCCCGGGAGATATAACTCAACTTTTTCTTAAAGGTACTGAGTGATCTGCCAATTTTAATGTGTTTGGGAAGCTCGTTCTAAGTCTTAGTGTTTATTAGAGTGAATGAGTTGTTAAATAATTTGAGTGATGAATTAGTATTAGCAATAATAATGATTGATTTAATCTAGTTGGTCTTAGAACTCTCAAACAATCTGCAAGATGGGAAGGCCACTTCAGTACTTTCAAAAGGGGGCAGAGGCGACGCATTCTTTGCCTATCACTTAGGTTCAAAATATCATTATTTCTAAAACAATTCATCACATCACCGTACTTCCTCAAAGCACGCATGAAAGCTTGACTTTTGTAATCTTTAACGCCCCCCTCCCCAACAACAATCTCCAAAGCTTGAGCGCATTTCCCAGCCCCTCGTTTCGCGCGCATTCCTTGCCTTCGCAGCAGGTGGGCGTGGCCGTGCAGGCCAGCGCGCACCGCGTGGCGCGCGGCGCGCCCGCCGCGGCGTCGCCGTCCACGACGGAGCGCCAAGAGGGCGGCTTCGAAGGGCTGCACGGCCGGCGCATCGGCACGCCCACCGCCACCGACTTCGACGAGGACGACCCCGTCCACGACCTGGGCGGCCCGCGCGTCTTCGTCAAGCGCCCCAACTGGATGCCGCCCGCCCACACCCCGGCGCTGTTCCCGGGCAGGACGGCCGCGGCAGACTGGGCTCTCGGCGGGGCCGTCCCGCCCAGGTTGCAACGACCGCCGGCAACGATCACGGCGAGGATGTTGTCGGACGACGGGGATGGTTACAAGCTGCTTCCGGGCAGCGGGGTGCTGGGGGGAACGTTGGGGGGGACGATGGGTGGAACGCTTGGCGCGGCGGCGGCGTATGCTGGGGCAGGAGCGTATGGCGGGACAGGGAGGCACGGTGGAGCAGGGACGTATAGCGGAGTAGCAGCATATGGCGGGACAGATGCGTTTAGCGGAACAGGACTCTACGGCGGCCTGGGCGCCTCTGGTAGATTAGGAGCTGGGGCTTACGGCAAGGTGCGTGCAGGCTCAGGGCTGATAACTGCGCGCTCGGGGCTGGCCGACGACTCTTCATCCGGTTGGCAGCTTAGCGGCGGCAGCAGCCTACACGCTCTGCCCGACGTTCTGGGTAGTGGTGGTGGTGGAGGTGGGGGAGGCGGAGGGGGTGAGCTAGAGTCTCTACACGCCGCTAGTGGTGGCGGAGGCGGAGACGCAATCGCCGCTGACGACCAAGATTTGCCCAGTCGACGAACGAGCTCGGTAGCCGACCACCACGGGCAAGACATCTCCGAACACCCGTTGTCACGGCGGCCGGGTCCTGAGTTCTTCCATGCGGTGCGCCACGGGGATGTCGAGAATAACATTCACGAAAATAACAACCGCTATGAAAATGAAGCCCACAAGCAGAAGACATCGTCGTCGTCGTCTTCGTCCTCGTCTTCGCAATCTGCACATCATGGACAATCATCTTCCGATACAGCACAATCCGACGCACACTTTTGGTCCTCTTCACAAAATGAACATCCAGCTTCCCACCCAGCACAATCTGACACACACCCTTGGTCTTCTTCGCAACATGAGCAGCAAGCTTCCGATACAACTCAATCTGACACACACCTTTGGTCCTCTTCACAAAATGAGCATCCAGCTTCCCACCCAGCACAATCCGATTCACACCCTTGGTCCTCTTCACAAAATGAGCATCCAGATTCCCACTTAGCACAATCTGACACACACCCTTGGTCCGCTTCACAACACGAGCAGCCAGGTTCCGATACAGCACAATCCGACTCACACCTTTGGTCCTCTTCACAAAATGAGCATCCAGATTCCGACACAGCACAATCCGACTCACACCTTTGGTCCTCCTCACAAAATGAGCATCCAGAGTCCCACCCAGCTCAATCCGACACACACCCTTGGCCCTCTTCACACCACGAACAACCAACTAACGATCCACTAGTTGACCCGCCTTGGCCCTGGTTCAGTGGTGTGGGGCCCGCGTTCGACTACACCGGCAATGACTTCGGCCCACAATCAGGTAAGTTCATGGGGTTACCAGTAACATAGGGTGATGTAATTTCTTTCTTACAAAAAAAGTTCACAGTAAGGCATTTTTGTACGTCATTATTCAATTTCAACAAAATATCAAGCAGTTAATTCAATTTTATGCCAAGTAAGATATTTTGCAGGTATAATACCACTCATTCCATGAAGGAGGATATATTCAAACGCAGCTCTCCCCCAAAAATTGAAACTAGTGGTGCTAAAACATCGCCCTTAGTAACGGTTATGAAGTAATATTATTTCGCATTTCTGTCTATATCAACACATCTCAACCAATGAGTGCTGCCAAGAAAGTGCGCATGCAGCGATGATCACAGTTAACAATGGGCACACATTTTATCATCAATTTTTGCTCTAAGAGTCATTTTTGCCATAATAGAACTGTTTTTCAGTTTGCATTGTAGTGGTTTTGTGGAAGTTATTCTAAGTCGTTATTCATAGAACGGTATTGCTTGTTTCGAATACATACAATTATTTCAACGTTTCATCTTTGCTGTCAAGTTCGTACGTTAGTTTTTTTAATAAAAGCGAAACGAACGAAAACTACTATTTTTTCAGCACATCCTAAAGACAAGCAAGGATAATTTCACAAATAAATGAAACATCCATATATAAATACCATCCAATATATCCCATAATGAATGCAGTAAAAACAATGAATTAATTACTTTAAACAAATGTTTTAATTCCTCATTCAAACAATTAATATTTTAATATAATGTTAATATTAATCCCTTTACTATTCGTAAAAACCTACTATCTGACATATAACTTCTTGGTCCTGCAGTACTACGTTATTTCAATACAAAAATAATTAAATACTCGAAAAAATTCAGACGTAAACAACATAACGAATGTCGCTGCCTTCAATTCGTTTGCAATTTCTAATTTACGTATTAACTACAAATATTTCGTTCTAACGTAACGGAGAAACTGGATCTTTTACGTGTAGTGCAGAGATGACATATTAGGCGAAACAATCACAAGTGGGTCGACGTTTTTGACTATGGCATCTAAATATATACATATTCAAGTGACATGTTTCTGATTTAATCCAATGATTGTCTCTAATTTAGAGATAGGAAAAAATTAACTAAATAGACAATCAATAAACATTAGTAAGTGATATAATGGCGCAATTTTGTTTAGCATATTACAATTACAAGAAAAAGAAAAATCGGCAACACCGCGCGCGTATCCTTCAAGATAGAACTTAGAAATAAAAATATATCTAGGCCCTTAAAGACACGCTCAAATTTTATATTTTGAAACGTTTTTGAAATGAACTTTTTTTAATCTATGATTTTTTCAAACGTTTTTTGAAAATATTTTGAAAAAAACTAGCAAACCCCGAAATGAGACTAGCGACATTTCATATTACATATGTGGAGAAAATTTAAAGAAAAAAATTGGAGCAGATTTTGAGAATTTTTAGTGTAAATTTCAATAACAAAAAACGCAAAAACTATTTGTTTGTTCTAAACAATGTACTTAATCTTTTTTGAAGAAAAAATTTTGTACAACTGACTTTGAAGCAAAAATCTCTATATTCGATGTTGTAGTTTTAATTGTTTCTTTTTATTTAATAAAACGAGCAAAACCAGAAAATATGACTACCACAATATTTTTTATCATTTATTATTACATAAGTGAAAAAAATGTAAAGAAAAATTGGTGTGAAAAATGTTTTTGTTGTTGTAAGTTTCAATCGCAATATACGCAAATCAACTAGTATTTTTTTTAAAATTGTAAAAAAACCATTTTTGAAAAGCTAACATTAGCTAAGGACCTACAACGCTGTATTTTTACTATGTCAACGTATGTTGTAATGTAACTTGTCTTGTAGATTCCAGGAAAGCAAATTCATTTCTTTGTTTCTTCTCTATCATAATGTATAAATACTACATTTTTCGCCTTAAATCTGTTTGATACATACTGGGGTTTGATACATCTGTAACCCAGCAGTAAAACATTCACGAAATTGTGTCCATGGAGTCTTCTACGTCCTATAGAACCATCACCTTTCATTAGCATGTATACGAATATTATATAGAGGAAATGATGTTAAACAATCCCGTATTTTTAACATGTAGTACTTGACATTTTGTCGAGAGACGTTAGTGAAATTGACTGATTGCAAAGTAAAGTCGAATTCAGAAAATTTAAATACATTAATGAACTGGCATTACCACAGGTCTGGTAGTTCTTTCGGCTTTTAATACGCCAAACACAGATTTTTTAAAAAGAAAACGGGTTTATTCGACGGCTTTCTGAAACAATAAAAATCCTTGAAAGCTTAATTAGAAGTTCTACTTAAAAGATTTTGATGTGTTAATTCAATAATTGGTGAAATTTTTCCTTAATTAATATACAAACAGATCTTTAAACCGATATTAAAAAAGAAATTTCTGTTATCGTCATCTTCAAAACGTTTCCGCCAAAATACTGAGATAAATGTTTTGCAATAATGAAGTATTTTACAACACTATGGTTTCAAAATAAAATAAATATGATCACATAAGAATGAATATACCAATGGAATGCCTTGAATTATTTTGGGGACACCTTTATTATAATGATCATTTTTTTAGTTTTACTTGTTTATTTTAGGGCCATAGTAATAGTCGTGACTTAAAATAAGGATAATCTTAAGAATTTTCTCACAGAGATCAGTGTTTCAATTCACAGTCACAACTTATCCGTGCACATAAAAACTCATTGTTATAGGAAAGGTCTAGCCTTCATTTATAGCTATAAGTTATCCCTTTCTTGTGGCATTGAAAATAGCGGCAATTTGAAAGAAATGGACGACAATTTCGAAGATTATGTGAATTTTGATGTTGACATCTTTCTACATCGCAAGAAGCAATGTTTACATGGCATGCAAAACCCGCTGGAAATGTACAACGATCAAGTATTTAAGAAACGTTATCGTTTTTCCATGACTTATATTTCTTTTTGTAACCAGCTTAAACTAATAGAGATTTGCCTGTTTTACCTCCTTTTAAGATACTGTCATTATTTAAGGATTTGTGATTAGATTATCCCACGGATCCCATATTGATGCTCATGATCGGAAATATTTGGCTAGTTCACGACCAGCTGGATGGAATGCTTCAAGCAGGATTCAAATGACTATGAAACAGCCAATACGCTGTTGGCACACGAGTCACTACTACTATCGTAGTTATGCAAAGAGTAGTCTACGATTACTAAAAGTTCATTAGTAACTTCTTATAGCTTAAGCATTTCCTTATCATTCAAGTGAATATGGCGGATTAGGATCGCTTTTCTGTCGGTTGTTTTGTTGTGCAATAATTTGTAAACTTTTGCAGATTCCAACAACCATCCTGATAATTGGAACCAAAACAGCGATCATTACCAAGGCAGTGATCACTACCAAAGCAGCGATCACCACCAGAACAGCGATCATAACCAGAACAGCGATCACAACCACAACAGCGATCACAACCAGAACACCGATCACAACCCACCGCATACGAACTACAACATGCCGACCCAAGATTACTTGAGGTAGGCCATCCGCCGAACAGCGACGCGCTGCATTGAGCTTTGCAACAACGCGACAGGCGAACGTGGTTTTACCAGTCACCTGTAAACTGGTCACCCCCGTAGAGCGCTACACTATACTGCGCCACCCTCAGTTATCGTCCATTGCAATCAATTAACAATCATTCTCCTATTACCAACACTTGGTAGTTACCTCGATAAAACCTCGCCATTCGCTGTGGAACTTAACGTTTAGAGTTAGAAGCACTTTTTTCTCGAATGACCAGGTCACGTGAAGAATTACTACTACTATACGCGCAACTTTTCTTGCTATTCCACAACGGGGTAGTGGGGAGAGGGGGCTCTGGCTACGACACGGCATAAAAGGGCGTACCAACTGTGAGTATGAACTTAACGCGCCAAAGCGCGCCAGGAGAAATTCTACGATTGATTTGAAAGTACTAGGTGGTTGTTGATAGGATTGTAAATTGGTACGTGCCGTTCCGAGTCGAACTTAAGTATCTCAACCGGCAGCGCCGAGTGTGGGCTAGGGAGATCGTGTATCAAGAAAACTTGCGCGACTAATAGTATCCCCTCCTTCCAATCTCTCTAGCTTTCCCAGGAACTTCGTATGTGAACTCTCCGCAGGGACCTCGCTCTCATGGCTTTGACAAGCCTGCTAAAGGAAGTGTAAGGAAGCAGTCGTTCTGATCTGCTGGTCGTGTAAACACGATGAGCAAGCGAACAAGTTTGATTGTCAAGGAGAATGAATTTGTGTATTGTAAGAAACTGAAAAGTGCAAAACGTGAAAAACTCTAAAATGCTCCGGTACTTTAGATATCGCAAATAGTCGCAAAAAAATAGAACTGCGACTGATGAAGTGAACAGTCATGAATATTGGTGTCAAATTGGTGGGTAGAAAATTGGCGAATTCGTTATAATGCCAACCTAATAATATAGCGTCAATGCGTGCTATCAACAAACGGCGTTATAACAAGGTTTACCTGTATGGGTATTTAAATCAGTTATATCATCTTAACACAATATAGGTTAAATCAACTTAACACATTTTATGGATTAATGTTTATAATATTCTAAGCAATCTTAAATTAATATTATTGTATTCTGAGCGTGAGCACTCAAAAAGTACTTTGATACAAGTTGGTATATAAACAGAGCATCTATTTTATTTGTGTTGTTTGAGTGTCCTACAATAACATACAATTGACTATTTTGTACGTTTTCACTATTCTCTGTTCTATAATTCAAACTCAATATCATATGCATAGCGATAAATACTTCTTATTTTTATTGCTCGTTATTCCCGAAATATATGAATTCGTCAAATGGGTGGGATATGAAGCTTTATGTGAAGAAATATCAAACGTACATGGTGTTGGCAGATTCAATGTTCTACTGCACCATCGTGCTATAAACCCGTTTCCGCATATATTGCATCGATGTGGCTCACTAACACATTTCTGTTATGAATACACAGAATTTCCGAACTAGGCAATGTTTGTGAGTTGTATGCTTAATCTAGTTCAGGGAAACGCATCTAGATGGCACTGACGCCACGTCGCGTAGGTCCGTACGTCGAGCACACTCGTCTCATTTTGATTTCACAAGTTACCGAGGAGTGCAAAGAAATCAAGCGAAGGATTTGTCTTAGATGGAACACGAGCTTGTAGGAAGGTCCCCTACGTCACAGAGGGATCGAGACGGACACAGACGTAACCGGTACTTCTCCCGATGCAAGCTCCTCAGCAAACCTCTCAGTAAGTGTAGATTCAAGTACAAAAGATTATGTAAAAAAAGTGAGATAGTAGGATGGCCGAGATTATTAAGGTAGTAGTGTCAAAGCGATCTCGTACTGAAGGATCGCGGGTTAGAGTCCCGCCTTGGGCATGGTTGTATTTGTGTTCGTCCTTTCACCCCTTATCATCACCATACAATTATCATGTCATCTTCACAGTTACCATATCGTTCAATCAATTAGTGGTCGCTAATGATCTAGATGATGATGCGACCCAAAATTTAAAAAAAAAGTGAAAAAATTAACGCCACTATCATGTGAAGAACTCTATGTCCTCACATGATGCGAACTTGCGCCTCCGCGTACTGCACTCACATCTAGACAGCGTTTCCAACCAGATTCCAAAAGAACGTTTCTACGTGTTTTCTTATTACCCCAGCATTAATATGTCGGCTTCCAGTTGTTGGCTTCGGCTTCTTTCTTGTTGGCTATCGACTTCCAGTTGTGGAAATTTTATTGGGCGGTAAAACACCATAGATCGATATCCTAATGGAATCATTATATCTAAACCCAACTTTTTTCCTTATTTCATTATATATTTCTGCCACTATGATATGTACTGAGGTAATTGTTCGTGGTGCCTCTACGCTGAGATGATCTAATTGAAAAGAAGAATTCAATCCATTTTCATTTCCATCTAAAATAGTTTTTGTTATTTAAATCGTAAAGAGGCATCACTCTACTCTACTTTATTTATTACATTATAAATGATTTTATCCACCCATTATTGGAATATTTATTAAAAACACAGTATTCCGTTGCGGCATATATTTCGAGCGAAAACAATTTCTATGTCATAATACTTGCATAGTTGCCATAAAGTCACACTCATACTTTTCCTCACATAGTTGTTAATTAATATAATAGACAGACAATTTAAATTTGAGAAACAAATTTTACTTAATCTGCAACGAACGCATTATGCATTTTTATAATTTTTCGCATTTGGATTACGGTAGGGCTCTCTACTCAATTAGTTTACGAACAAAAACTATGTTAATTTTCTCAGCACTCAAAATTCATTCTACACAAAAACAAAAGCTAATGAGAATACGCGACATACGGAAACTTTTACTAATCTAATAATTACTCAACAATTACTCAGACTTTTATGGAGCGAATGACATTTGAAAATGTATGGTTGAATAAAGGACGCAGAAAGCTTCCAAGCCACAATAATCAACATGGTTGAAATGGCTTGAATATTTGGGACATCTTCAAATTTCGAGGAATTCTGCCGCTGTCTGGAAAAGAATTGGGAATGGAGAGAGGCGGGAGTGGAGTTTAGTCCTTCCGGATAGGCACAATAGGAAGTGAAGAGGATATGGGCGAAAAGGGGTTGGAAGGGCGAGCGGGAGGAAGGGGTTGGAAGGGCGAGCGGGAGGAAAGGTTTGGAAGGGCGGGCGGGAGTCAATCCTGACGGTCATGACAGGCCGAATAGGGCTTGCGGAGGATGTGGAAGAAGCGTCAGGAGCGGGAAGAACTGGTGAAACGGAAAGGATGCATTGGCGGGGCAGGAGATATAATCCAGGCAGCCGTGGTAGACCCGCTGCGGGAGGAACGGGCCAAGCGTGTGGGGGCGGGAAAGGCTACTTTATAGATTGTGAGAAATACATGTGGTACACAAATTAAGTAACTTTTTTTAGAAAAACGCGCTAATTGAATTAATAAAGTCCTGTCAATTTTAATAAACAAGATGTATGTGTGTCACAGATGTATAAACCTCCTTATAATAATAAAAGTAATGGATCATTATTCTTCTCAATAAGTATACCTTGCTTTAACTGTAAAGTATGCTATCCGACACAATCATCTAATGATTGCCTTAAACAGAGACAAGGTAATGAAATGGTGAAGACTTCTGCGAGCGATATGAAGCGTTCATCTGCTATTTTCCTGCGCCAATGGACCGTGGCCACTCAAACTTGCTCCTGGATTCGGAACGACAAGCAAAGTTTCAAAGAAACTAATAAGCATTCAAAGGGGGGAAATAACATTTTAAATTGATAATAACATTCTAAAGGAATCAAAAGGCGATTCAATGTAATTCAAGCGAGTGAATACGTGCGTATTAGTAAATACTTAGCTGTCCGGAAGACGCCAAACGCCAAAACGACGTCCTAGGCAAAGGTACCAACGTTTCCTTGAAACTGCGACCTTCCTCAGAGAGAAATGCTATTTGCTCAATGTTCTGACCAATGATCTCAATCACTGACCCCAGCTGCGGAAACCTGTGCTCTCTTATGTGTGTATTGTGTTCGATTGCGCCAACCACTTAGGTCATTATTTTTGTAGTGCAGATCATATTGTATCACGGTCGGTGTTTTCTCTCCGCTGGAAAGAGAAATTCTGCGTCTATTTCACGTCACTATGAGAGGTTTTGCCCCTCCAGTATCCCCCTGAGAATGGTATCTCCCCAGTCGGTACAAGCGCTAAGCTCATGGCGTGTGTGGTGTAGTGCACATAAGTGTCTAGGTGTATGTGACAGAAGAGAGGAAGGATGAGAAAGAAAGATTGCCAATGGTCCGTGATACGGTCTCGGTGAATGAAATAATTATCGAAGGTAAATGCAGTCTGTGGTGGGGCAAGAGGATGGCCAAATAAACTCTTAACCAAAGACAGTTTAAAATCAAAGGATGGAAATAAGATGGGCGAGGATATCTTTGATTGATATATTGATAAAGTAATAATTTCCTTAGTTGTTTTGATATCTATAAGTAATAATCAATATATTTTCTATCAGTCGCAAATGTTATATTTTTATAATTGTCAACCTTCGTTTTGCCATACCCAATTCCGTTAATTCTTGTAGCGTAGATTTGGATTTTGGTGTGGATTTGGACAGTGTCATCGAGCAAAAATATATGATGTCGAAATTAAAAGAAAATTTGCTTTACTACTTAATAAAATATTTTGTTTTTCAGATGTTTGATCTTCCTTTGGTGTAATACTGTGCAAACGAATATAAAGTTTACATTATTACACATTTTGAATTTGAATTCAATTTTGAGTGAACATTAATCTAAGACTACATTTTTTTTAAAGTTTGAAACGTTTTTTGTCCACATTCAGTAGTTAATATGGTTACGAGAATTTTGAGAGAATATTACATTTCATCTTATTTTCTGTGCCCGCCCCTTTACATAGTATTTAAAATCGATTTTTAATTTGATACAAATAATTTCGTTTTTTCTCAATCTCTACTCTTTTCATTAATTTCCTTTTACTAATTGAATATTAGGTCATGTTTCATTTTCATTTCACCATCTTCTGTACTAGATTGCTTCAGTTGAATGAAAATTTGCACTTGCGACCTTCTTTGGTGTAATACTGTGCAAACGAATATAAAGTTTACATTATTAAACATTTTGAATTGGAATTCAATTTTGAGTGAACATTAATCTGAGACTACATTTTTCAAAGTTTGAAACGTTTTTTTGTCTACATGCATATTTTAAGTCATTTTTTGATAACTATTATATATGAAAAACAAAAGTATTATTACGAACATACTAAATGAGTCAGAGTGGGAGAAACGTCTCTTTAAGCAGAAGAAATTATAATAGAACCTCAAATAAGAAATTAGTCATCTGAATGAAAACTCATCTTTCCTCCCATTCTTTTATTTACGAACAGAAACTGCCGTGTACGGATATTATCCGATACATATGCAATCAATTCAGCTACTATTACTCGTACATAGAACCCAACATGAGTAGATAGTATTCCATGTGTTCAGAAGTAGAAAGTGTTTGTAGCAGAATAATGAAACAATGTTACCAATATTACAAAACTACGAATACTAATAGTTAATTGTGCAGTAATATTATAAAAATAATGTGTTCCATAAGTCTAGTTAAGATAAAAATGTCCAATCTGCGAAACTCAGAATAATGCTAAAAGAATTTACAACAAGTCATGACTTTTATTTGCATTACTTCAATTACATTAAGGTTATAAAGTTCTGGAAGAAAAAGAATCATCAATTTGTACGAATATTACATTAAAAAAGAAAACAAAATTACTTCAATATTAATTAAACATATAATTGAGGTTAGGAGAATTGGGTAGTACAAATTAATATAAAATGAGTTGAAGGAACATATATCTTTTTAATATGACACTCATTGGGATGTTGGCAATAAAAAGTGACAACCTTATTCCTACAATTAGGCGAAAAACTGCTGTTTATAAACAATTTTACAAAAGCTTTTAGTTTTACGGAAGAATAAAAATATCTTAATGTTCTATTTAAATGGTACCTTAATCCTTGAGAATGTCTTTTAGAACATATATTCTAATAGTAATAAAACTTACCAAACGTTCCCATTCTGAATATTTTCAATATCACAGAGATGCACATTTGGTGAATATTATCTAATGATCACCATGATAATAAATAAATAGTATAAAATTAAAACTGCGTCGGTTTTCAAAATATAATTAACTTTGTTTCGCAAGAAAATGCTAATTCCGATAACGTCAATTAAATATCTGCCAACATTTTTAACAATCTTTAAGTTTATCCAAAAGAGATTTAGTGGACTTCTCATTGTTGTAAATATTCAGGAAGATAATATAAAATATTATCCGTAAAGTTACTGAGAAACGTTATTTCCTCCATCACTTAAAAAAACTTGAATTTTACTTCTTTCTTCAAAATTTTCAATTTTCATCTTACATCATTCGTGTAAGATGTTTCATTATCACAGAATGGCTAAGTTTCAAGACAAGAGCAAGCCTTCTTCAGCAACAATCACTTCTTTAACAGATGACACAATCATAAATATTGGACTCTTCAGCTGTTACTGAGGAAATTTGATATGCAATATAATATACATTGCACTTACAATTTTGAATAAAAAACTTATAAAAGACAAATTTTAACCTCAATATTCTTTACGTGAAAAACAGCAATGACACAGATTGTTCAGCAAGAACAACTATCAGCTCACAGTTTGAGTGAAGCAACGGAAGAAGCTTTTGAAATCGATGCAGATATTTCACAGGTAAGACAAGAATAATATTATACATAATTATTGAAGAAATAAACGCGTCGTTTATTACTGAAATTAATTATATTATTTTTATTCAAAGGTGAATTAGAAACTCAGTTTGCACAATTCTTGTGGTGTGGGATATCGTAGCCATCAATACGTATGGGTGAAAATTTAAAAACCTTTATATTTAAACAATTCTGAAATGTTGAAGTGAAGAGCTCTTAATAAAGAAAAAGTTGTCGTAAAAGTTAATAAAACAAAGTCAGAAAAGTTTGCAATTACTTAGTATATTTAATATTCTTAATGTTGATAATTTTCTTGTGTACATTTCATTGAACAAAATATACATTTGATTACTTTTGGAAACGACGTAAAGATCGTCTCGCAAAGCAATCTCGCAAAGTTTTAGGATGCGATGCACGATTAAGGAATGCACAAACACTTTAAATCTCATGAAACTAGAACTATCATAAGTTGACTGTATCTGTTACATCATGTGTGCAGTATGGTATAAATGTATTATACATGTATAACACACATAAATGTATAACACACACAAATGTATAACACACACAAATGTATAACACACACAAATGTATACACCAACAGTTACCACTGTAGCGTGTCTGACCGGGAGGGATCGAGGGCTCTTAGGGTTTGAGAAACCACGATGTCGGACTTTCGACAATAGTTAGCCATATCGAATTCAGTCACCGCAAAGTCACAACAAATGCCACTAAAATGCTGGAGCAGTACTCTAACAAACTTGTCACCGACCGTGCGCGGTCTTTCCTTCTCTTCCATTACACACACACACACACACACACACACACATGCATGCATACACCCACACAAGCACACACAGACGAATACGCCAGGAACTCGGCTGGGAGCTTATAGCTTGTACTAGCTGGGGCTCCCACGAGAAAATTGGAAGAGGGAGAAACCTTGTAATGTGCCGAAAAGATCGGCATCGGATCTCGTGTTCCAGTGGAGAGGAGTATTGCCACCTCCTGACATGTAGCATAATCTACGCTTACGGGAACAATTACCACATCACCTGACGCGCCCGTGGACTCAAAAATATTAATCAAAAAACATACATCTATACAATCGCGGACATGTTTCGTTACTACGTGTGTAGGGAGAAGGAATGTCCATGTTCTCCTTCTAAAATCAGAATTATTAATGTTAAAAATATTTTATCACATTGAAAATAAACAAATGCAATTTAGCATTGTCTTCCGATACACTATTTGTTATGTCCGGCACCATATTATCTTTATTTCAATATCCAACAGTCTTCAGAAAGTCTTCGAAGTTCAGAAATTCATTCACGGGATAAACCAAAATTTCGAGCTATTCAAACTATATTCTGTCTAATATTTAGTACTTCTGTAAGGTTTGTATTTCAAACTTTGAATGTTTTCAAGTCTCACTAGAAATTGAGAAAGTAAGAAGAACATTAAAGTTAGAAATCTATGAAAATCAATTGTCAGATCTTATTGTCAGCTATCATGACATGTAGTTTACTACACACTTCACGTTCATGTCGGTTCAACACTTTATGGAAGTTCGTCTGAGTTAAATAGACCGAGTAAATCTCATTCATTCGTTCTTTCAGCACCAATATATGGATAACCGGTTGTCATATTGTTATAAACACCACTGATCTCTAAAATATATAGATTGATACATTTTTTTATCATTTCAGCTGCTGATACGTCAAACGAACGTCGGGACACATATTCATACTCATTCCACAATTTTGTTGTATTATCTTAATTACCCTTTCTATTTTTACTTTCCCGTTTACGTAGGAGTACGTATATACGGAGTATTATATGTAGTATAGGGAAAGTTATGTAATGCTGCAGAAAATCGATTTCGAGATTTCGACGGAAATACAGGTTTTGGGGCCCTCTGAAACCGAAAAAAAAATATTTTTTTTCAAAACATCTATCTATGAACACCACTAGCGCCTAAGCCATACGTAGGATTTTTTCCTAATTGAAGAAACCCCTATCCATGCGGCTCGAGACAAATCTTTGAGAGTTTGAAAAAACTTCTTTAAAATTTGGATGTACATTGGGTTTCCTATGGTTTGTGTTACATTGACACACTTTCAACATTTTCTGAAACTCAGCTCCAATTTTTTTCTTTAAATTTCTTGTAAGTAATAGAGTAAAGTACACTTATAAAGGTAGGATAGGTCCAATTATCACGGTACACTCTAAATTTTCGAAAATTTCAATTTTTTTCGAGCATCAGCCTTCAACTACAAAATTGATGATAGATATTATTCTTTAAATAAAATTTGTTTTCCATAGTGAGTTTTTTCATTAAAGTGGTGTACTTTTTTTTGAAAATTTAAGTCGTTAATATTGCGAGAAACGTGCAATTTAAAAAAATAGTGCTGAATTCACTCTATAAGATGACATTAACGCCATTTTGCTCTATTCTTTTGTTTTTTCAAAAATTAAAAAAAAATAACTTTTTGGGCTACTATCTCACGTAGTTAATATTTATATTGGTGGCAATTTATTCACATTATTGTATTTATGAGTACATGTGCTTTAAATAATGTCATATAAAGTTTCTAAAAAACACGTCCATTTTCTGTGAAAACTGGCTCAAAATTGGGAAATTTTCAAAAACGCTCAAACGCCATTTTCTTAAAAACTGCTCCAAATTTATTTTTCTAAAAAGTGACACAAATATAATTTCTTTGAAAGATCTTTCATGCCCATATACCCCTCGGACAACGTCGGGCAATTTGTAAACACTATTGTATTTGTGAGTTTATGTGCTTCAAATGACTTTGTTGAAGATGTTCGAAAACTCGAAGTATACCGTCAAAAAAGTGTGTTAAAAGTTTAATGCGAGTTTTGGTTTTTAGAAAAAGCGCTATGAAACTGCAAATGGTAACTCCATTGAGGACGTCACCACCTGACGCTTTGTCACGCACCTGTCAGGTTCACGTGGCAGCGCGCAAATCCAAGAGCCGATGCTCAAGCGTGTTAATCGACGAAGCGATGTAATCACTCGCGTCAGACAGGGTTATCTTCTCTTCCGATTCTGTGCACCCGGCTACCAGCAGGACACAGAGCGTGAGACTCAGAGCGTAACGTTCTGTCATCGCATTCGGGAGACCTGGGATCAATCCCCGGGCCAGCTATCCTTACTGTTTTTTTCGTGGTTTCCCTCGGTCATCTAGACGTATGCTAGGATGGTTCTGCTGAAAGACCAATACCGCACAACACAGGTGTCACTAGCCGAATTCGTTTACTACGCTCCGTGAAGTCACGAGGTTTAAGCGCATTCGAGACATCACGGGTTCCTGATTGGGTGACCGACCGGGAACCCCGAGATCGAACGGCGCCAAGGCCAATTGTCCCTTTCTGGACATGCTGGTGCAATCGAGCCAGGATGAGAGAATATTTTTACTGCAAACACTCCAGTGATGAAGAGGTACAACAGATGGACAACACTGATATTCATGAGGATACTATCACTGTGTATATCACCACTTCTTATAGTCAAAAGAACAGTTTGTTTCAATCGATGCAGTCTGTTGCTTGTGAGTACAGTTCCGGGGTATCGAGCAAAATCCAGCCCAAACCCCGGCCGTCGGCGAGCGACCGAAGGGGGCGTGACCGGGGCGTGGCTTGTGTTCGCAGGCTGCGCCACCTGCTGAGTCGGTTGCTGTTGAAGCTGCACCAAGCACTGGACGCGTGGCCGGGGCCGCTGTGACGACGGACGCGCAGCTCGCGCAGTCCGGGCAAGCGGGGGAGTCTGCGCCGCCCGCGCCGCCAGCGCAGCCCGCGCAGCCCCGCGGGTCGGCGTCCGTCGCCTCGGACAAACAGCCTGGCCGTCGACGCCGCCGGAAGAACAGCTTGCTTCGATGTCGCCTCCTGTAGATACAGGCTCTTTCAGGGCGGACAAGTTCGCTTGCCTTTCCCCCGTCCTTTCTTAACAAGAGTGGAAATAAATTATTCATTATATTAATGACTTATTGTTTGTGTATAGGATTACACGCTGTGTTATTCCCTTTGTATGCGGCAGACAGCGTATTGGACCTGCAAATCGATGTTTATGAATTCAAACGTTTCTGTAATTAGTACAGCATGTCGCCCCATGTCGTTGCGTATTAAACGTAAAAGATGCCTCTCAACAAATTTTAAGTGAAAGTGTCCTGTTCAAAATGATACAACAAAGTAGGAGGTCAGACGGTTTTGTTCCAACAGATCTGCCTTTTGTTTTGCAGAATCTTGTACTACGAAAAAGGTCTAATAAAATTTAAACACAGGCCACAGAGGGGTTTTCAGATCTCTTCGAAACATGCACACAGTCTAATCGATTGTGTTCTTGTAATGTATGCGTCTTTGAAAAAACATGCTTCCGAAGCGGTGGAATTTGAAAGAGAAATGATGAACAACGAGGAAATTACAACAAAATTTACTGTTTAGACCAAATTCGCGTTTGGTAAGGCAAACAGTCACTAAGAAATAAATTTCCAGTTTTTTGTGCTATGTATACTAATACTGAAATGTTTTCTCAAAAAAATCATCATTAATTTTCAATTACCTACATCGATCAGAACATAATACATGTTTTATTCAATGACTTATCATTGAAAAATCGTGAACTTCGTTTCATGATTGAAGCACTCTCGGTGGAAAGTGCTTGTCATGTTATTATGGGCTCAGTATTTAGCTAGATCCGATTTTTATCCCCCGGGATTGTTAGCGCTTTAATTTATTTTGTTATTCGACATTTTCGTTGACAGATTATCAGCTGAGGTTAAATATGTTTTCTCATAGATCTGAGCAATTTTGAATAGGAAACATTTATTTTCATAAATTAATTACTATTGATACACGTAGTTAGTAACTAATTAAGTATTACGTGTACAATTAATTATGCGCAATGGAAAAAAATAATGAGAATTGACATCAATACGTAATGACTACTTTCAGTAACTTTCTGTGCACACATGAATCATACAATACCAAATCCCACAAACGTGGAAATTATCAAACGTTCTGATTGGATCCTATGGCTCAACAACACAATTTAAATTTACAAATGCAATACTAAAAAAGACCAATTCAGGAAAACACAGACGACACGTCCAAAGAAAACGCCGAGCTGCTTAGGTAGAGCAATGCAATGAATCAAGTGATTTACCGGATAGGAGGACGGCAATTATCATTAAAGTCAATGCGCCTTGCTCCTGCAAAGTAATACTGTGTTCGAGTTTATACGACGCACACTGCGCTCGCACTGCGTTCGCTCGCATCCTCAGCGTTCGCTGCGCGCTTGGAACCGCAGAGTGATTTGCAAGCGTAGCGTTTGAGGAGGGTGTAATCTGCACTTCGCCCTGCAGCGCATCTTCTCAGCTGTTGAGACCGACTTGACGCGCGTGAGATACGAGTAAAAATAGATTTTAAATGTGGTCTCTGAAGGTACTAAATAAATCCTTAATAGTAAAACTTAAAAATGAATTATCATGAGTTTTACGTCTTCCTTGTCCGGAAACCGTTGATACTTAAAAGGACCATACTAAATCATCACTAGCTTAGTGTGGGGACTCCATTGGATATTTTCATGTTAATCATTTTTATTTTTGCTAGTTCCTAATGTAAAAATTAAAGAAAATACGTCGGGCCTAGAAAGCTGTCATAAAAAGTAGCGATAAAACACCGTATTTAATATTTGTTTTATTACAAAATAAGGTTTAATTATCGTCAATGTAAGTATTAAAGTTGAGTGATTCTTGTTACGCGGGAAAGGCAGTAGAGGAATTCACAGCCCTTCACCATCCACTGTGGATGTCAAACTCTCCTCTCTCCAACAAAACACGTTCCTTCTACATTTCTTCCACAGTATTTTCGAATGATCTTGCTCAAAATAGTTCCATCCGATTTTTCTGGCCGCGAACAATTTAATGAGCTCCATCATCACCTCTGTAGGCACCTTAATACTCACCAAAAGGCGTTTTAAGTGCTTAACCTCCTCCCCGGATTTTATTTTGAGAATTCTCTTAGAATGTTCTGAAAGAATACTTGAAAATTGGTAACTTCCCCACTCATTGATCGAGACGTGTCAAATGACATATCGGTCGCCGCGAATAGTGAACTGGAAGGGGTACAGCGCACCGGGAGAGTCTCACCGCACCGATTCGAGTCACGGCCTGCCGCCACCTCCGTTTCCGCCATGCGCGGCGCTAGTGTCGTCTATCGATGTCGATGTTTTTAAAACATTGATGTTTCTATGGAAACATTTATGTATTAACACCCATATTTTATAACATTGATGTTTTGTTTGTGAATGAAAAATTCCCATGATCACATTACTGTAAAAGTTAAAAAATGAAATAATAGCTGACAGTAACACTTATTCACGTGTTAGAACCACAGGAACTCTGTTTTCACCATCCTCATCGACCAAACACTCTCGACGATCTCCTGACCTCCGAGATGACCACCATGATCTTGAATTTCTTCTTGCTTCACATTCATTTTGCACATTGAGTTATGGTCAAATACGCTGTAGGCGTAGTCCCACAGGCCCTTCTCGTACCTATTCAGCGAATTGATAAACACGAACACTGTCAAATTAAATTTATGCATACTTATAAATAATGCACACTTATTTAATGTTAGATGTTACTAATCAAGTCTAATAACATCAATGGCTTCAGTCGATGTATTTGTAACATCGATGTTTTAATTTTGAACATGATGTTTGCTAACATCGATGTTTTGTTATCCGTGTCATATCACTAGTGCCGCTGGTTCTCGTGATATCAACATCATTTCTGTACCATGCATCATCATGCTAGCACTCTCACTAGCAAGGTGACACTACGGAGGTACTTTTCTGGTCCACTAAATTAACATAATCGTGAGTAACGGACAGACGCAGGGGGGTTGCTTGATTTCAAGAATAAGATGTTTTACTCGCCGATTTGTTATTCTCTGAAACTATAACCTAGTTTATATTTGCCATTTTAGTAATGTGGCTAATTATTCATCTACGTCGTTCATCACATGTATATCTACATTATTCATCACATGTAAACCAGAGACACGTTGTCATTATATTAAAATTCTCCCTAGACTCTACATCATGATTCGCACCTTCTGTAAAAGATGAGAAAACGCCATTACCCGGCGTACCTTTACGTCTACACACAATTCTAGAAAAGTGCGACTGAATTGGAAGAAAGCAAAAGGGAACCCGCACAACAACTGCTCCGATTCGACCCGGTGCCAGCCTCTGCCAGGATTCGTTGCCAAGCAATGGCGCCGGAGAGTCGGAAGGCAGAAGAAACCCCAAGGACCAAGGAAGCAACAGAATTTGGCTCAGCTAGTCCTACATCCTTGCCAGAAATGGAACTAAAATTCTTTAAGTCTTTCCCTGGCAATTCCTTTTTACCCATTTTCGTATCATCATGCCATAAAGACATACACTTTTAACTTGCGAACTGATGACATTCACACTTTAAGGCCAGCGTTGATAGAGTGCAGGTGAGTTACATCTGCTTACCGCTTGAAGCGGTATGCGCTAGATCTACCGGATGTATTGTGCGCGGTATTTGCGGGTCGGAAGAGAATGGGCCAGAGCTCAGTGTATGTCGTTCTTCAGGAGACAAGCTGATATTTTTACTTGATGCTGTAGTAAGTCTTTCGGCTTGCGATACCTGTTGTTTTTGTTGTTATTATTATTTAAATAGTATTTGGCAAGAGTGGTTAAAAAGCATAAATGTTTAAATGGTGTGTGTTCTCGGCTTATCTGCACCTTCAATTACTCAGCCTAACATGTTTGTCAGCAATCCCATTTAGCATGGGCTAGGATAGATCATTCAAGCAACAATAAATAAGAGGAAATAAATTTCGATCGATTTGTGCCCTCGGATCTATTTTATTCAATGTGTGTTAATAAACGTTTTTGTCCAAGTCTTATTATGCTTATCCCCGCGATTTATTAGTCATTCAACCAAAAAGACCTAATCGATTATACATTTGTACATCTTCCCATTGACATTTAGGGCTTGAACTCTTTTGTAGTAGTAGCCAGGTACCATTATTCCTTTTATTTGGTTACAAAAATGGTATCTTGGCGTTGGCAAGCTCTCATAAAACTCGTGTGCGATGCTCTTCTACGTAGAACTCACATAAACGCAAGTCGTGTCGTGGGCTCCTTGCACTTGACATTGCTTCATATTCACGGCAAACATGGACATTTCAATGATTTGTGTCATTCCATAAGCATTATTAAAAAACCATCGCATTCAGTAAAATCCATTAAAATCGACTAGGGGAAGGTCTGTAAAGAAGTTATCTCAACGAAGAACAAAAGTTGAATGAAATTTAACAATGTTGTACAGAATAAGTTAAATTGAATACAAAGACATATAGTAATGAAATGTTTTCCTAGTTTCATTATTTTTAAATCTGCAATTGCGTCAGTAAATGTCGTCATTCGTAATTTTTCTGTTTGTATAAGGTAAGTATATTAATTCTAAAAGCCTATGTACCAAAAACATCAGTATGCACAACATAGAAAATATTTATTTTGATTGATTTTACACAAAATAACAATTTTTTAAGTATATGAAATATCGTTTTGTTGGAACGCATACAAAATTATGAGAAATATAATTAATTGAAAGATCTAAATCAAATAGTATATTTTCGTCAATAAGGGCCAAGTATTGTTAAGCCGCTCTGAGAATAAAATATCAGCCTAAAAATGTTGAACTTTTATAAAATTGTATGTCAATTATGGTATTTTCTCTCATAGAATGGCCCTTGAAAAAACGTAAATGGCAATGAATAACACGTGTTACCTGAAATATAAATATTTTTACAATCATGTATAATAAAATACTTTCATTAAGTATCGTGCAATTCGTATATAGTGCAGGTTTAGATTGTGAGGACAATATTCTTATATATTTACCAATATTGAACTTTTATTTATAAGATTCTTATCTACAGATATATTATCATTTCCTGCCAATTGCAACGTCTTCTGCTGGTTTCTAAACCGAATTGCCTCTTGTCCACGTAAAAGTTTTACATTCTTCAGCAACAGCGTATTCAATGAATACATAAAATGGCTGACAAAACACACAGTTCCTCCTTCAAGAAACATAAATTAACGTACGACTTAGTAAACTGTTTGCTGAAACACAGAGGAATCACATACTGTATGCATAGTATAGCATGTAGACACCCAATTACGTCTGCATTTCATTGGCTCTAATACATTGCCCCCTATAAATCAATAATAGTAGATTATTCAACTTGGTTAATGTTGACCTTTTTGCACGAAAAATAAAATATTAACGATCAAGGCACTGCAAGAGTGCGTTCAGTACATCTTATGAGTGCAAAAAAGTAGTTAATTGACTATAAATTAGTTGCATACGCTATTTTTTGTTTAACAATATAATGATTTAAGGAATTGAAGCACATTTTGATATAAAATTGATATCTCAGACCAACACCGCCTCTTCAGAAGACCTCGGAACAAGCGAATGACGTCATCGTATTTAAGCCGATTGCTACGTCGGAGGTTGCCTGCGACGGAAGTGCTTGAATGCAATTTTTTTCCATGTTCAATCAAGTAAAATTAATATAATGCCAAAGAAAACATCACTTATTATAATTAAACATTTTCAATAAGATGTGAGCAAAATTTGCCTTCCATAATTAAACTAAACTCGTTTTGCTTGATATAAAATACCTCGCTCTGCCTAACAGAAGAAATTTAATGTATATATATTTTAGAAGCATACTTATAAATCTTCAACAACCAATACGTCAACTGACAAACACACTCTTTAATTGAAACTTTTTATAATTACGTTCCTTCTGATTTCAGGTAAAACAGTTATTCAGATAAAATACGACAGTGTCCTCCGACGATTGTGCTGATCAAATTACTTATAAATTCTCTACATATTTTTCTGGAAATTTCCAACATCTTGAATAAAATTGTCACTGTTGTAAGATATAAAAACTCAATTCTATTTTTCTTTCATTTAGTAACTTGATCAAATTAACAATAATAGAATACACTACATACTATTAAAGAAATTGTTATTAATAATTTAAATGTATTAATCGGTGTAAATGAAGACAAATACCAAATGTTTCAGAAACATACCATTTTTGTACAGACTTCAAATTAAAATAAATTATATGAGTATTTCAGGAAATTGATAGTATAATTTAAATTTAAAAAGATTTTCGAGATTTTTTAATGTCAAATGTTTACTAAATATTAGTTTAAAAGTTAAGAGAAACATTTCTTTAAAAAATAATAAAATGTTTAAAAATCATTACATCACCAAAATGGATGATTTTTCAAAACTTTGGTCTGAGATTACAACTTAATATCCAAATGTGCTTCAATTCCTTAAATCATTATTATATTGTTAAACAAACAATAGCGTATGCAACTCATTTATAATCAATTAACAACTATTTTGCTCTCATAATATTTACCGAATTTATTTTTCGAGCAAAAAAAGGACAACATGAAACAAGTTCGGAAGAGGTGCGTGACGTCATCGAATTCAGGCCTGCTCCGACCATCTTGTCATATTTCAGTCACCATGTGCAGTGTGAAGACCACGAAGACCACTGTTCCTCGCAATTGGTTATATCCTTTAAACCTTTTTTGACAATTTTTCATAGACGAACATGCCTTTCAAGAGTAGTGTGCCGTTGTGTTGTGGTAATTACTTGAATGGTCGAAATATTTGTTTTCATTTCTGAAAGATGATTCGTTAAACAAGAAGTGGTTGTGAGTGATACAAGTATTTTCGCCCAACCAGCAGTTTTGAAGTATTTTTAATTGCTTTCGAAGTGTTGATGCATTACGGAAATAATTATTCCCGGTGTTGTACGCGTATAGACTTTGTATAATATATAAGAAAGGATTGAAACTCGACGCACTCAAGCAGTGTCCTTCAAAATATAACCTACAAAACATACATGATATTGTAATACATGATCATCTGTCCGTTATGTTTTGAAATTTGTTCGGACCAGATTTTTAAACTTTTACCATGTTTAAATATATTTAATTTATTACTAATTTATGTATACAATATATGTGCGGTCTTCATTTAAAAACAATTCAAATATATTGCATTTGCCTTTGTGTGAGAGTTGTATTTCCATCCGGAAGACATTGTTCAAGTTCTGGAATATTTCGATGAGGTACATTGCAAAATGGTAACAGCAAAACTGCCTTTATCAACACCAAGAGATGGGGCTGAACGAACAATATTTCCACCAAACTAGTTTTCTGAATGAACATACTGAGAAGACTCCAGCAAGCGAGAAGAAAATTTTCTCAATTCGAAGCTGCAATCGCTGCAAGTGTGAACGTTGTCTAAATTTATGTACGACTTCGACGACTATTTTGTAATCTATTATTATCATTTTATTATAATAATTTTGTAATCGATTATTATAACTACCTGAGAATAATGATCCATTTCCTTCCTGGGATAATAAGCTCTAAACCAAATCAATAACTCTTTTTTTTTAAATATATGCTCCAGTATTAAGAAATGTCACAAGAATAACTTTTTGAGATTATTCGATGCCCCTTCTAATCTCATAGTCCTCGAACATTGGCCCTAAATAATTCTTAAAATAAATTCATGGAACCATCTGAGTTTGGTCTGAATGAATCTCCCACTATCAAATAAAGAAGATAACAAAATACACGCTTCATGAAAATGTTATTCATACTTGTTGTAACAAGCTAAAATTGAATTGTGTTTACCCATAAATACACGCCTTGACAGAAAGAGTAATTGGGTATTGTACAAGCATAATACTAATTTATTGTATTGTACTGTATTTTATACTAACTTATTGTACTGTACGACCACAGTCGCTCCAATTGATTGCGTTATATGGCAATATCCTTTCGCCTCGCAGCCGTTCACACTCCGCGAAACGGCTGATCACACCGCGATCACGCCACACTTCGTAGAATAATTATCCAATGCAATCAATTTGATAAATTAGCTTCAGAAGACTCCTAAAAATTCCTAATTTTTAGTTTTAGGCACACTTTGGTAACTTGCTTAAATTATAATTTAAGCACAGTCCAAAGCATTTGTTAATTGCAGCGTACTAAAATAAATTCTCAATAGTTGAACATTCTACTACCTTTCCTTTGCCCCACCAGCGAGGGTTGCCAGTTTTGGGAATTTTGTCCCCAACATAGGGAATGTTTTTCATTGTGGAGAAAAAAATGGGAAACAAATGTACGGGTAAATGTTTGGAGATGGTTTGGGTAAATTATTTTCATCTGGTTTCGAGATAGAAATATGATTCCCTCATTTTTATGAACAAAAAAGAAACATTCTCTCTCGTGTTTATGTATCAAAAAGGGAAAACTTACCGACAGTTAAAGAGAAAGAAAAACGATGATAGTATAGAATTTCGGGCCTAGAGCACAAATATCTCTTCTCTATGGCTTCGACCAGCTCAAATGACGATGACTGGTTGATTTGAATTATTTTAATTTAAGGGAACAACTAATAGAACCGCCAGGGACGGTTGACGTCGTTTGTCATAATTTGAAGAATATTTTTCCTTTCAAAGTTGGGAAATTTTGTTTCATTGGAGTGGTTATTTGGGTAAATTCCGTAGTGACGGGGAAAAGGCACGCAACCCACCTGGCAACCCTGCCACCAGCGACGCAGCACACCGGAGTCAGTCGGACTGAAACTCTAACGAGGCGCACACGTGCCTCGCCTGTATCTGTATTCTTTTTGTCATCTTCACCACAATGTTTTAGTGCATGTATGCAAGATCTGTTTAGTGCTGTTTTTCATCCATTTAGAACGCCACGAGATCTGAACAAGTTACAAATGACTGTAACTATTTATTAAAGTGTGTCGCACAATGTCTTACAATCATGTCGGTTGCCATGCAGCCTGCGTGGAGCGATTATATGTTAATTTTCTGCAATGCAGCGGTTTATTTCGGCACCGCGCGCGCTCCGCCGTACGGGTGATGTCGCAGGGTCTCGATGGCTAACCCTTCCTCGCCTGTCGACGAAACAGTGCAACCTGGGTGCACTTATGGTCCAGTTAAGCAAACGCACCATATCTTTTAATATTGTATTCTGTTTCAGCTTCATCAGTACCTATTGTGCTCAATGTATTCTGCTGTAACTGTCATTTATTTTGAAACATTTTCAATT